ACACACAATGTGCATGTAAGTTTCACTGGCATGACAACTTCAATCTAAACAATAGCGTTGGATATTTGAACGCTAAAATTTGTAAAGCACGCATATACATGGTCGAAATATCGCGTTGAGTAATACAGTTATAAATTCTTCATTTTTATTCAATAAACCAGGTGTAAGGTTTTTTATTAACAAAAGCATTTTATTCAGCTGAAGGCCGGGCAGAAGACCGTTTTAATAAATAAGTAATTCGCTATATTAAGTTCAATAAAATTAGTCAATCGAAGACATTTTGGATTTGGTAACTTAAAATATGAAAGCTATTTCAATAAGGTAATTAAAAGTAATGTGATAATCACTTAAATATGTCTTCATAATTGTTTGTCAAGTGGAGCCCAAGAAAGAATGCAAAATACATCCCCATTTAACGTTTTCGACTTTTTATACATGATAATATTTCGATGCCTGTCTTTATAACTTTCGTTTAAGGTCACTCTTTCTTATAGTAAGATACACATAACTTTCTGTTGCTTGGGACCTATGGAAAGTATATATGTCCATTCAACGCTCATATTGTCATTAATTCAGAGGTATGCCGGCCAATCGTGTGCTCCTATCTCCAAAAATTAAGTGATGTTCCGCAACTTTTAAAGCATCATAATATAACGTCCATAACGTAGTCGCGATAAAACTACAATAAAATGCAAAAATTGACATGTTCAATAGGTGCTGCACATGTATATTTGCTCATGCTTATTAATTTAACATGAGCAAAAATTTTGATGATTTAAAAATTGTAATTTGAAGAGCAAATGGTTACAATATTGCTTTGAGTAACAGTAAAAGCTTCATACACGATGCACGCGTCAAACCAATATTGAACATCATCAAATATGCTATGTAAATAAAGGGCTTTGATGTCATGAGTGTTAAAAGACCATTTTCAGAGTATAGTTTTCGGAAGAAAAAAATCATAAATGCATTATTTTGGAAGCGATAAATGTAACGATAGTATAGGTTTAAATTGAAAAAAACATGTCTATTGAAAATATCATCAAACCTTTTTCTCCTTGTGAAATCTATAAATGTTTGCTAAGTTCAGCAATAGTCAAAAGGGGAAGTTTTGTCAATGAAGCACCACTACAATGAACACACGAACTTGCATGAAAAGATCCGTATACTCTGTTGACAACTTCTTCAACTCCAAAAGCAAACATTTCAGGGCGTTTCTTCAATTTTGATTTGTTGAAAAGTGATACCTACTGGGACGATGAAAACAATGATTATATATAGTAAAGAATTTTACATGATAAAATATTTAAACTAAGGTAAATGGCTGTGAAAAAATATGTAACTTCGATGTGTGTCTGTTTACGGTGGCAAAGAAAAGAGGATGTAAATAAGTATGATATATATTAAAATCACATGGGAACTATACAGTTATTATTTGCAAAAACAAGGAAAGGAAATGTCTGTGGCTAACATAAATAGACAGGTCATTAAATAGAATTTTTTAAGATTAGTCTAGTCAAGTGGGATTGGGATGATAAATTATCATCAAGAGTTAAGATTTGATGACTTGATAGATTACTCGTCTGAACGATGTAAAGCTGTATTTATAGCAAAAGGAGGACACACTATAGTTATTGAATATAATATTATCTGATTGTGTATGATAGACTTCATAGTTTTATAGATATAGTAATAGATATATTAAGACTTCTTAGTTTTCAAAATGAGGAAGTACTCCCCCCTTACATTTAGCATCGGAAGTTTGAAAACAAGTTTGGTGGAGAAAGAGAGGGGGAATCGATAAACTATGTACTTAGCGTAATAAGAGAGCAAGCGTTGATTTCGTTGGATGGATTTATCGCATTTAGGCGTACACTACGTTGCTCTTTCAAGGTGAGCAGAGATTATGAATATAAAAAAGTTGTGGACACTGCTGTCGGGTACAGCACTTAACATCGTTGCATACCATCGAAATATTAAAATTGTAAAATTAAAACGTCATCGAAAATACATCTTAACAAAAATGCAGTCTTGTTAAGTTTCATTAGTCTTGATCCAGCATTTCGCACAACGACGAACACTGACTTGTGTGACATCAGTCATGTTCATAGAATCATCGTGGTTGCACTCACATTATTCAAAAATTACTTAAGTGCAAAATAGTGCGATTGAAAGCATTCCATTTTAGTTAGGCAAAATTTTCAATACGCCATTAGGAAAATGTTCCGTTAAAAGTCTTATTATACTGAATATACGAAACTACCAATTTTTTTTGAGAGATTTTATGATGAAATAAAGCCATTTTCACACGACCTAATCCAATGATCTAACATGATATCATCCTGAGTCTAATTCAATCACCTCAATTCTTATATAAGAATATCATAAAATATAATCGCATTCATGCCATTTATAAACCTCTGCAGTTTTTGGTGTTTACGTTTTCTGTCCATGGAGATTTTGTCAGTGGTCTTGGTTGCTAATTCGGTACTACTATTTTGTATCTCTTGATTTCATGTTGTCTTTGAAGAACATCTTAGAGACCTGAAAGAGTTACGACTTTAAACCTTTGTCATAAGCAAAGTGCCATAGTTTGTATGTGAGTTTTCTTTGTTTCTCAAATACTGAGTGGCTACAGTGAATGTACTTCCGAAATTTTATGGAGAAACATTTGGATAAGATGGTAAGAAAATCGGCTGCTCAACATGTTTATCCACAAAATATATTAATATAATATTTAGTAAGGTATTGCCAATAACACGTAAAATGAAGTCTTCAAACAATCAATCATAAAAGAGCTATCTGCATGCAACATAAACTGATGAATCATTAGAATGCTCCCTCTTATACTAACGCGAAATGTTCTCTTTAAGCCAGTCCTGATAGAGATACCTAATCTTGAATTGTTCTATAATTTAAGACAAAGTACAAAATAATTCTTGTTTGCAATAATAATTTAGAGCTTCCAAAACTAAGAATAACTAATTTCAATCCAAAAATTAAGAGTGATAACGATATTAGCGTTCAACATGAAAATACATAAAACATCACGGCGAAGAGCATTAGCATTGTAATCAACTTTATAAAACTTTGTTCTTTAAGGAAAAATGGAATTTTCTGAAAAAATTAACACGCACAAACTAATTAGATCGATATTAGATTTTTAATGGCCACCATGTCGGCACGAGGACTCATATACTGAAAATAATTTAGGTCAGTTTTGTCTCCACTCTATTGATTTTCATGCACCACATTAACAAAACTTTATAACAGCATAACCTAAGATTGAATTGAACTAACCTAGATTGCTTGATGTCTCCAATATTATCATTTGTTCCCTGAGTATAGTGATTTGTGTCAAATCAGATAAGTTTATGTACAAGAAAGCGTTTATGTACAAAAAATGCCAGCTCACTAAAGTGAGCTGGTATTTTTTGAGATTTAGTCGTAGTTTACCCTGAACTATTTTCGTAGCTTCACCATATTTCTCGAGAGGTTTAGCCTTTTTGTCTTCTTTACCTTTGATGATCAAAAAGCATGGTACAGAAGCTTAGAAAACAGTCTAATATAAAAGATTATTGAATTTTCCTTTGATGTTATCCTGCATGTAATACGGTAATTATAAATTCTTATGAAAAGTTTAAAAACATATAAAGAACATCCATCCCATTCTCATATTTTAAATAATCCTTCAGGGAAATGATTTTCATTCATGTTTAGCAGCAACTTATTCAAAAAGCAATTTTTCAAGATTCTCACACTTAGTGGTGTTATAGTCAAATCATCTATCGACAAAGCATGTTTAAACACGCAAAATTCCAAAGCAAGACTCAAATCATGCAAGCAAAACGTACATTTTACTATGCGGAGAAGCCTCCAGGTTCAAGTGATTAATGATCAAGAAACACATTTTTTGTCAAGAATCTAAGGAGAACGATTATCAGTCCTTCTCATTTCGCACATTGCTCATACGTGCTGCGACATTTCACAGATCTGTGCATGTATCGACGTATCAATTACGTACGAATGTAGTACTTAATACCGGAAACTTAAGCAAACGTTAAGTTTTGTTGACCAGAGATTTGGGACGATTGATGTCATGTGTTGATGTCATTGTTGTTCTTTACAACCATGCAGCCCAAATTACAATGAGTTTTAAATATGGAAAATGCCAAAATCTATCACTGCTTATTTTAACAATTTCAAACCTGCATGACACTCAAACATGTCTTTTTTGTCGTATTTTCATGTTTGCAATCACCAAACTAAAACCGGCAAAGCTTAAAAGGTCTGCGAAAATTTTTAATCGTAACAATTTAAAAGACATTCATTTTGTTAGACCAGTAAACATTTGATCGGGATTTTGTTTCTTTTTAAGCAAAACGCGGATACTGTGTACAGTGAGTCCACTATTGCGTAAATAAGAACATTATGGAGTAAAAGTTGTTCGATTGCACGTTTTCTTGCAAGTTTAATTTTCTAATTAGCTAATTGTAGTTGAGTAAAAACATACATTATAAAAAAGTGCTTTAAATAAGGCTAGTTTGACTGGCAAGACAGTTTGCTCTTAGCTTCTGTCTATTTTGCAATGAGAGTACAGTTTTTTCTTTTAAGTTTAATGTTGTTGTTTGCAGTGGCTAAGCCAGTCGGAACGATTACTCAATCACTTCTACAAAATACAATGCAAAATTTTGGACAAAACTTTTATCAGTTTCCTTAAAAAAATAATTTCATTAGTTGTTTTTCCAAAGAAAGACAACAAAACTGGTTGCACTGCAGAAATATTTGGATTGTAAAAAACTGCTGGCTTCGCCAATGATGTTGGCTATTTAAAGACAATGTTCTTAATTATTTTCTTACTTTCCTTTAAAACATGCACTCATGACATTGCTGATTTGCTATGCACTTTGCATTGCTACATTTTATGAATTGAAATTAGCTATAAAATGATGAAAAACTTCTACTGCTCAATCTTACACTTCCTTTTAACGTTGGTTGTATCACTGGAAGGTGATCAGATATTCTGGATAATACCGATGCTCGTTAAAAAGAACAAAAACAGTGGGAGTGGTGACGTTATCCACGGTGGAGTCATAAGCTTCATTTTCTGTTTTTTTGCGGGGAACAATCATATCTGATGTACCAAGAGTGTATTCCCCTACTGCAGCTCTCACGCAATACAGATATTGCATTCCAGATGCATTTGCTGAATTATAACTAAATGACTGCGAAGCATCCCTTGTAAAGTATACACCTTTCCCTAACGTAGTTCCTAAATATATATGGAAATGAAATTAGATCTTAAATAATATTTCAGTTTATGTAAGTACTTTCACTAGCGATTGTGTGTATCGTTAAATTTTGGAAGTGTCGTAAGTTTCCCTTCATAAGTATCATTGAAAAAGAAGATTTACAAACCATTTGTATTTCCAGCAAGATGCCTGTTTAGTCCTTTTTTGTTAATTTCTTTGATTTTTTCAGCATCTGTATCATGAAACAAATACATTTCATTGCTTCCATTCTTCTTATCTAAACTTTTCTTCTGAACCACATAGTCTTTGAAGAGAGAGGGATTTTGAACACGTTGGATTTCTATGATTTTCTGCTGCTTTGCAGTCTGTCGAAATCGACTCAAAATTTTATCATATTCTGCTTTTTGCTCTGGGTCGTTTTGCGACAATTTAACCAGATGAACTTCAACTTCTTTGTTATCTGCATCAAGTGGCTGTGGGTCCCAATAATCAGGCACAGGTATATTTTCTGTGCAAAAGACAAGAAATATAAAATTATGAGTAATTTTTAAATATTTAGTACACTCTACATGCGCAGCTTACAAGTATAGGCACTTGTCTAAAAAAGAATGATTGTAAATCTATAAATTTCCATAACTATAATTTTACGAAAACAAGGACCTGTTGTTGAACGTACTGTTTCTCATTTTATTAAATTCTTTCTTATTATTGCAACCAAAGCCTGTTACAGAGCGTCATTTTATGCACAGCAAAGAAAGAAAATGTTAGCTACATTAGAGCTCAAGATACTGAAACTTCCTCAAAAAAAGAAAAAATTTACCCTAATTACCTTTTTTTGACTTAGAATCTTTTTCCCTGGAAAAATGATCTTCAATGATGCCATTCATATTTTTGTCGTTATTTTCCTCTTCACTATCAGACGTTTGATAGCTCCATTGCACCGTTTGTGACACTTCCTCGCCTTTTTCATTTGAGTCAGGGTCATTTTGCGAAAACTTATGAAGATGGATATCGACATCTTCATTTTTGGCGTCAAGCGGTTGCAGATTCCCATAACCAAGCACAGGTACAGCATCTTTAGAAAAAACAGCTTAGAAATTCATGAATATTTTATATGACTTAATTTTCATAATGAGCAGACCGCAGGTAGCAAAATATGTACCTTTACACACACATCACGTAAATTATTAACAAATATAGATACATATGTATGAATTGTGTTTTTGCTTTATTGTTCGGACCTTACAAATAGAGTAAATAGAGTAAGTTGAATTCAAGTGCTGTGTATAAAATGTAGTTAACGTGAACAAAACTAAATCAATGGTGTAGCTAGACCGTGAAAAATGGTCCGCGCTCGCATTTTGTGCTCATGTTTATGGAGTCATTGGTGTCTATTAAACATGAATGTCTTGGAATATGCTGTGAATTTGCACTAAAAATTGGTATACCTTTTTCTAGTTTCAAATATTTCCTGCTTACTTTTACAGTCTTATTGTTTTTCAAATTCTTCATTTCCATGGCTTCGAATACAATTTCATGATTGAAACCATGAATTATAATAATAACAGACTTTTCTTTCGTCGAATACGAGTTTTCTATGATAGCGTTCGTCTTTCTGTCGTACTCTTTCACTTTGCCATCCAAGGTTTGGTAACTCCATTGCACTGTTTGAGCTGTGGTCTTGGAAAAGTCGATTAACCAATCCTCTTTTTCTCTTTCTTCTTTTTCTTTGATATTTTGAAAATACCAGGAAATCTCACCACTTGCTTTTGTAACATCATCGGCACACCCAGACAGCATAATACGATTAAGATTTTTATCTACTTTTTCACAGACGTCATTTTTTTTACAAATTCCATGCAAAATATCGAGCTGCTGTTTAGAAAGTGTAACAATCATTTCACTTTCAATTTTCTGGGTTATTTTCTGCTCGTTCAGAAAATTTTTTATTTTATCCTTTGCATCATCGACAACATTTCTACTATTCCCATAAATTACTAAGTACATTTTCTTGTCAATCTTCCGTTTTCTTTCTTCAACACTCAAAACTGTTGGCTTCTCCAAAGATTTCCAAACATAGCTCATTAATTTTTTGAATATCCCGCGTTCATCATCATGTTCAAAGTTATTAGCAGCAGCCTTAAACGCTGAAAACATTTCTTCATCCTGCAACCCAATACGAACTGTTGCAAGTGAGCTCGAGTTTGTAACAAGAAAACAAATGACTGGAGACAAGATGGCGTTGGCACTGTTTACCAGATCATTCTTGAAATTGCCTGTTTCAACGGCTGGAAGCGAGACACTCTCGAATTTTAGTCCATCAATTTCCTTAAGGCATTTTTCCACACTTTGCTCAATATCTTTATAGTTCGGAGAGTATGGTGCTATCATATGAGCGACGCATTTTGCTTTAAGATTACCTGCATTTGTCAATACAGTATCACCAATTTTTGGCTTTCCAGTCAAAAGTTTTAATTTACACTCGTCATCTAAAACTTTTCCACCAACTTCCATGATTTTTCTACTTACATCAGTTCCCATAGAGAGACTGGGATTGCTGAAATACGCAATAACATCAGTGCTTTCTTGAGTGATGTCACCTTGAACAATTTCTATCTTTTTATCATCTCCAACTTGTATCACAAGGTAACTGCTGCTTGCCTGACCTGGTTTTACTAGAGATCCTTTTTGAGATTTATCAGGAAGTTCTTCAATCTCATTAAACTCCACTTGGTTCTTCAATTCATTCTGAAATGCTTGGATAGATTTCACATCCTGATTATACAAAACGAAGCTAACTTTTTTAATCTTGCATTGGCTGACAGTTTTCTCAAATCTCTTGGTCTCTTCAAAAAATATTTTAGCTGCAACTTTATGCGGAAAGCCCAAAATTCCTGTTCCAATAGCAGGAAAAGCAATGGATTTTTTGCCAAGAGTGTGACATTTTTGTAAGCAACTCTTGATGATGTTTCTTAATACCTGCAACATCAATATATATCCATTTATGAACATTTTATTTTCATGGGATATTTGCCACTAAGGTTTTGCAATACGATCCTAGGTTAAAACATATATTCTCATTTACCATAGTATATTAATCTCAGTTTTAACTGTGAACTTCTAACCAGTTGTATTGCTGCTTTTACTGACAGATTATACTTCTGTGCAAACTGAAAGCTCTACCATGTTACAAATTTAAAAGCATGTCACTGTTAAAAATTTATTTGTGCTCATTAAAATTTTCTTAAGAAAACGATCTAGTTAAATTGCTTATGTAATGACCTTTGATCGCTTATTTTTCTCAAAATCACAAAAAATGACGCTTTGGATGTATTTTAGAATTCCGAAAGAGAAGTAAACAACCAAAGTTAAAATTATTGATATTTCTATCGCCACTGCTTCCACAACTATTTTTGCCCTTTTCTGGGAAATATTGAATCATCACTATTATTGAACTACACGGCAAAATCTGTCATGCATTTAAATTCAAACATTTACCTGTTCTCCTTGTTCATTGCTGTACTTAGAACAAGCAACATGAAATACTTTATCGCAGAGAAGATTTCCACCACGAGTTTCAGCCACCTCTCCAAACTTCAACCTACGTATCTTGTCACATTCTGCTTGCAATTGTGGTCCAGCCTTTTTACTTAACGCTTTGCCGCACGGGTTCGAATCAAGTTTCAAATATTCCCCCGTGGTGTTTACAAGGACATCTGCCTGCACAGAAAAATTGTTTCAGAAAGTAACATATTGAGAAACTTTCATAAGTTTATAAGGTCATAAGTTTATATGAAAAGTACAATCCAAATTCCATATCAAAATGTAATATTCATCTATATGCAAAATAAAATACTAAACTTTTGACTGCACAGCAATTGGTAGGAGCATTAGCTGCTTAACATATCTGAAGAAACGATCAATGCTGACAATATAGCCTGTGAAAAAAGCCAACAAACATAAATCTTTTTATAATCACACGCTTTCCCTTTACCTGATATGTCGACAAATCTCCCACAATAACAGAAACCTTCATATTCTTCTTAGTGATAATGCAATTACTCGGAAGTTTTTTTGTTGTTACACGCTCGTCAATCTTGAATTCTTTATCTTCACTTTCATCTCTTCTTGTTTGCGACAACACACGTACTTTTCTGTGCCAATGATCTGCAGAATTACTCTTCTCATCTTTGTTTGGGAAGTTAACTTTTGTACCAAAGTTTTCACGAAAATACTTTAAAAATGCATTTGCGCTTGCCTCGTCGTTGTTCACAAAGCAAATTTCATTCAATGCAGTCTTCTCGTTTTCTTTAAAAAATTCCTTTACAGCTTCAATCATAACTGATGCACAAACATCTTTAGGAATGCCTAAGGTGCCACTTCCAAGAGCTGGAATTGCAATAGATTTGTAATCCCTAGCTTCTATTAAAACGTTTTTGCATGTTGCATGCAATAACTTCCGTATCCTACTTGCCTGGTGACTGTCCCAACGAGGAGCTACTGCATGAACAAGCCGTTTACATGGCAACCGACCAGGCATACCATTGAAACATTTACTTTCACGTATCTTTCCTTCTTTTATCACATGCTCGTCGCATTCTTTCTGAATTTCATATCCTCCAACTTCAAGAACCGATTTTGCGAGACCACCGACATGTTTTAAGGTTTCGTTTGCAGCATTCACAATGATGTCACAATGATAAGCTGTAATGTCTGCTTTTATCAATTTCAAGCTCACATTTTTATCTTTCATTTTGTACGAGCAGAGCAGCTGTGAAGTTGGTTGGAATTCACTGATATCAGGATTTGAGCTGTCATCTTGATCAACGGAGACAGAGATTAGGCATTTCTTTTTTATTTCAATATCTTCAATAAAGTTTTTTCCTTCATCAGACAAAATATACTCCTGCATATCTGGCTTCTCAATGCAAATGTTGTCTTTTACAACATTGGCCAACAGCTTTTCTATCACACTTATTGCTCTTTTAACGCCTTCTTTTGTACCTTGTACTACAATTGTTGATCTCTCCTGTTTTAGTACTATGGTCAACGAGAATTCCCTTTCAGCTTCTCCAATTTCTTTGGTATGAAACTTTGATAAATATTTAAAATAACCTTCACTTATATCAATGCATTGCTGGACAATAGTGTTTTGTTTTATAAATTCGTTCACCGAGTGGTCGGCTTTTATGACACCAGATTTCGTACCTATTAGTAAAATCGCAGGTGGATCATTCTTTTCAAACCTCAATGTGATATCAGTCTTCAACATCAAGTTTTCTGAAAAATCCTTCCATTTGTTACTTTTTAGAGCAGCGTAACTGTTTTCCTCGACATGAATCTGTTTTTCAAGCATTATTTCATCCATGAAAGTGGTTACGCCGCTGACTGTTCCCACATCAAAACAGAGAATGTTGAGTTGATTTTTCTTTGCTTGTTTAAGATATGCCATTGCTTTCAATGCTTTACTTTTCAGTCCAGTGTTCAAAATCGTAAGTCCACCAGATTTTAAGTAAAGATATCTTGCATTGCTTACATCTACTGTTTCGTCGACTATCTGAACACACTGAAAAAGAATTTTTCTTTCAGCATTTGAAACTTGGTCTGCAGCTCCTTGTACGATAAGCGTGTGTTTTTGATCGTCAATAGTTATAATGACGTTGCAATGTTCTGTCAAAGTTTCAGTAAAGCCTTGTTGAATGAGAAAATCTATTTTTTTTTCTGGAATGTCTTTCACTTCCAAACTGACTTCTTCTGATTCTTTTTCCATCTTAGCTATTTCATCTTGAAATTGTTCACAAATTTTCTCAATTTCACCAGCACGTGCGACAAGTTTTACTTGCGAGGCATCAGTATCTAATATGACTGTAACTTTGTCGTCTTGAAGTTTCATTATTGAATCTTTTAGGTTGACTTCAAATTCATCCAAAAACTTATCGCATATCTGAATGCGTTTCACGACAAAATCTTCGAAGAATGACTCGACTCCTTTTGCTTCATCTTCAAACAAAATTAAGTTTTCACTGCCTTTTTTTAACAACTTTTCACACAACTCCATTCCAAATGCATCAGAAAATTCTTGTTTGTGAAATGTGATAATATGATGAGCCACGTCAGGACATGATCTCAACTTGACAATGTCAAACTCTTTTACTTCTTCCAAAAACTGATAATGCTGATGCAATATCAATTTGCAGTTATCCAAGCAATGTTCTTTTGAAATCAACTTTTCTAAAACTAACAGGAGAATGTCACAAAATTACAAAAGGAAAGAATACACTCTAATGATTCAGATCTTTTCCAATCATCAATTTTGAGTCTTATTTTGAAAATCACTACTCTTGACAATGAATGTTTTTATGCAGTGCGGTGTTTGAAATTAAATGAGATATGATCTTCGCACTTAGCTGGACAATTTAAGCAATCGTCTCAGGACCTGAAAAAATCAGGTGACTCAACGGGATTCGAACCCATGACCTCACCTGATTTTTTCAGGTCCTGAAGACGATTAAATTGTCCAGCTAAGTGCGAAGATCATATCTCATTTAATTTCAAACACCGCACATAAAATATTCATATGACATTCATTTCACGAGAAAACATGAGCCCAACAATATTGACCTGCTCACCACTGTGTGACTTCATAGCTCAGTGGTCAGAGCACTGCACCGGCACCGCAGAGGTCATGGGTTCGAATCCCGTTGAGTCACCTGATTTTTCAGGTCCTGAGACGATTGCTTAAATTGTCCAGCTAAGTGCGAAGATCATATCTCATTTAATTTCAAACACCGCACTGCATAAAAACATTCATATGACATTCATTTCACGAGAAAACATGAGCCCAACAATATTGACCTGCTCACCACTGTGTGACTTCATAGCTCAGTGGTCAGAGCACTGCACCGGCACCGCAGAGGTCATGGGTTCGAATCCCGTTGAGTCACCTGATTTTTTCAGGTCCTGAGACGATTGCTTAAATTGTCCAGCTAAGTGCGAAGATCATATCTCATTTAATACTCTTGACAATAGTAGCTAATAACTAATGTCGATGAAATTTGATTAAATCCTTAAAGGGAAATGGCAATATATATTTGTTATAATTAATACAGTACATTACCCCTAAATATGAAAAAAAACACAAAAAATTTGTCATCACTGTCTTTTGTGTGGAAAGATTCATCTCTTTTTTGATTTAAATCATAGCGTGTTCGTCGCCATCTTGTAAAGATTTTTATTATGCTATTTTCTTTATGTTTTAACAAAATGACGTCTTAACAGGGTAAGCGTTCCTCAGCAAATACAAGTCGTGTGTATATATGTCAACATATAGTCTTGTATTAACCGGTTTATTGCTTTAATAGCAGCACTGAAAGAAATCCCGACAAAAAAATTCACTTTTTCTATGTTCCTAAAAAAATTAATGCCCTGTTGTGACGTCATGCATATTTCCATAATGACTTGCTTTTAAATTAAAGATGGCTTTCCTTCTTCAATTTTATTTATATTTAAAGTGATTTAAGGAGAGTTCTATAAAGAATTACAATGCCATATTAAATTCATTCTCTATTAAATATCTTAAATATTTGTTGGTAATTAATAAAAATGGTTGCCAATCCCCTTTAAAGAATGTCGATTTCCCTAATTTGAAATGCCTTTTAAACGTTACTTTCAATATTTTTGTAACTTTGTGCAGCATTTAATTAAAGGCAGTGATAGATGCTGGCGATAGAATTTCTAGATAAAGATTTCCCCCTTTATAATCCTCATTCAACTGACTTATACTACTGTAGAAATAATTAATATCGATATTATTTTGTCAAAGAATTTATGTTAGTAAATATTAATCGTCCTGGTTAGTGCAGTCCTAAAAAGGATCATTTGATTCTGAAAATACAGCCGCTACAAGAATCTCAAAACATCAGACAATACCAGCAGTCCGAAGCATAGCAGTAACTTGGACGATGAACATTTAAAGTAACTCCCAAGCTCCCAAGCTAGAAAAACCAACAACGATTATACCAACTTCCAACTCCTAACAATAATATTTTTCTTGATGAATTGGAGAGGGAAAATTTTTACGTGCCGTTAATTCAGCAGCTCTTAAATTTTGTGAAAAGTAGTGACGTTTATGAAAAGTTATGCACTCCGCACAAAATAAGTGAAAAGGTCAAAGCATTGCCTTTTTATATTCAAGAGACTATGAATCTTACCGTTTGGATAACAAAACGAAACAACAGCAATTCCTTTATTTTTTTTATGTATTATGTCACCATAGATTTTTCCCCCGCCGTTTTTTTCACTCTCAAAATACATCTCAATCGTGTTTTTGGTTGTGTTTGAAGAAAGTCCTCTCACCAAAACGCTGTTGCAAACTGGCGGAAAGGATATTTTCAAAACTGCCCCATCTAATGTTTCTTTTTCCTCCATTACCTTTTCGTTCTCTGGGTAAGATAGCAATATATTGTCATTCTTTGCAAAGTAAAATAAAAAAATATATAGTCATGTCATCTAGCTTTGAGTTTCGACTTCATTCCAAGTTTATACTGATTTTTTATTGACGTATCTTCTGCATGTTCTGTCTTGGAAGTAAGTGATCCCATTTTTTAAAAACATATTTTATTATTTTGATTTTTTATCTAATTACTTAAGAAAATTCAGATGGGAAAGAAAGCAAACATCGTATCTATATAAGTTTTTCTCACCTAAATCTTCAAAAAAAACAACAATAGCTTTTCCTTTGCTACCCATCCAAATATCTTGCACCGAGACTTTTGTCCATGCTTTCATATAAAATTTCAATCCATCTTTTGAAGTTTTTGGGTCGATGTTTTCCACAAAAAGTTTTTTTTTATCTTGTGGAAGAAATAATTCTGGTTGTTGGCTTTTCAGTTGCAACAAGTAACCTGATAGCTTTAGTTCCTGTTTGGTTAAAACTTGTTCTGCGACTGAAACAATACAAAGAAAATATTATGTTTTTTAAAACTAAATAACTTCATTCATCCACAACTTGACTTTATACACACGTTTCTATATAATTGATTTTGACTAACATCATTATCACTGGAAGATACAGAAAAGCCCCATCTAGCAAAAAAATATGGCAGAATATCGTTTTGGTTTGTTGTATGTACAAAGGGCGAGTTGTATCAGTGAAAGAAGTTGAAATCTTTTATCTCCTGCACTTTTCATACGGCTATCCGAATCAATTCATTTTGCATCATGTAAATGATGTATTACAAAGAAAAACCCTAATAAAGTAGTTATAAGCACACTCAATTGTATAATAAAACAATCATGTTATGTAAAACAACTGTAAGTTAAGCTGAATAGCAAAAAATTCTAAATTATCATTATAATTATTATAAATCGACATGGTTTAACATTTCCATTGTATACTAAGGTATGAAGAACTATACTCCTCCTATATAAAGTAGTTTGAGGTAAATCCTATAAAACAAATCTAGAAACATGTTTTGTAAATGAAACGTTCAGTTATAAATTTTAGCCCCTTTATTCCTAAACTTTGTAACATGCTTGAAATGATTTTGTGAAACACTCTATACTAACCTTCTGCGCTTTCAAACGTGATAGAAGCAACATCCTCACTACTTCGGTGAAATTTTTCAATTCTTCCTCCTACTGACAGCTCATTGCTTTCAAAAAACAACTTTATTGTATCATCTGTTATATCCGAGCAAAGTCCACTTACAATAAGCGTTCGAACTTCACCAGACTGAGCTTTTTCAACATTCTGTAGGTAAGATTTTCAGCAAATCAAATGAATATTATCATCATATATTATTAAGTAAAAAGAACTAACACAAACGAAAACAAATATAATAAAAGCAATGTTAGCAAGAAAACAGAGATTATAGTCATTGCCAAGAACTATATGACTATATCTAGACTCACTAAATGCCGATTTGAAATCGATTGTAATGTTCAATCTGACACATTTTCAGTTCAGCTCATTGAAAAAAATTTAAACACGTCCATCAATTAACTAATCTTAGACTAGAATACTGAAAGAACATTTTTTCAACAATTCCCTGTCTAAGAACAGGAGAAAATCTCAGAAGAGCATCTAAAACATATACGCGACTTTTATATGTTCAAGCTAAAGTTTGCATATGTAAAACGAATTTTATTCATATATAGCATCAATCCTATAGAATCAGTGCCCCCCCATAGAAAACATTTTTTACTGCATATTTGGCTCACCCTGTTTAAATACGATTAAGAATCAATCAAGATACCTAAGAAATGTTTACTGATTGCATTCCCATTAATGAAATTAAATGACTAGGCATCCTTAATCGTTTACACCTGTTTTAAGATCAAAAGGGAGATAGAAAAATCAGTAAGTCCGGATAACAGTATATTGGTTAAACGTTTATAGCACAAAATAACGGAAATGCAACCCAGAAACGAATTTGAATATCCGGTTGATTTTATCAATCGTAATTCATCTTTCTGTCCATAGCATTCTGTAACATTGTCATTTTCAAGGAGTTATTTTGACTCCAAAGAGGTGATTAAAATAACTCCTTATTAAATTAACTCCAATTTATGATTGAATTCTGATTTTACTCCACATGGAGTAATTTTAACTCAGCCAAAAGAGTTAAAACAACTCATAAATCAGAGTATAATTAAGAAGTTATTTTAAACCGTAACATTTAATTCAGAAGTTATTTGGACTCCTAATCAGAGACTCCTAATAGAGCTTGCTGTTGTTATGGCAACGAGTTTATCTGGCGTGTGCCTCGTGGCGCTTAGTTGGCGCTAATTTGGATTCGGAGCAACGTTCTAGACGTTTTTTCTTGATATTTTTCTAACATTTAAATATATTTGAAAAAAACATATGTTTATTCAATATTGTAAGCGAAATGGCTTGTAATAATGGAGAAATTCTTTGAATGACTCATGAAAATCTAGAAGATTTCGACAAAAAAGCTGGGTCATAGAAAGTGATGAAATTATATTGCCTGATATATTGTAAGATGGGTGGCTTGTGAGATAACTTGCTTTGTTTCGTTTTGCTGGCAGATGGATTAATCCCTTAAGGAGCTGTTCTAATGTGCCCTGTAGACGGGATTCGACGTAGCGTTAAGTAATTTTAGTAAATGGAAAAGATTAAATACTTCACAACAAAAAACGTATTTAAGCAATTTCTCTATGCTTTGCCTTTGTAAATTTACAAAACTTTTATAATGAAAGCAAATAGTTTAGCCTGATTTAAAATTTGCGACTACAATGACTTATGCGATTAAGAAAAGGTTGTAAGTTTTGCGCCTAAATTTTCTACTCCTTTCATTTACTCAAAATCAATTCACGCCTCGCTGTATCCCGGTTACCGGGCTCATGTAAACAGCCCCTAAGGGAGGTTAACAATTTCTTGCTAATGTTGCCCAAAAGAACTCGACCATATCTCCCGGTCAGTAAAACGCAAACAGCGTAAGCCATCCATTAATAGTAATTCACTGGACCACTTCTCGTTCAGGCACAGTTATAGATACGCCATGCCACATAAACTGCTGAAAACAATTAGGCTAGTCCCTAGGGTTAGGTAAGATATGGTCATGGTTATTGGTCGAACAAGTATGTGGCAGGTTATTTTTTAACTGCTTCCTTGCTAAGTACTTGTTATTAAGGCTTTTTGATGCACTGCCTGAACATTAAGGCTTCGTCAACACTAGTGCGTTTTCGTTCGAAAACGCATACATTTTGATGCCTTTAAAGCCTTCTGTCCACACTAATACGCTCCAATACGCTCAGCGTATTCACCGAAAACTCTTTTGAAAGTGAATACAAATGAAAACGTATACACATCGTATCAGTATGGACACTTGAAAACGGAGACTTTTGAAGACGATGATGTCATCCGCACTAATTGCCGCTCATTTCCAGTTCTTAAGAGAGCTACTAGCTGCGGCATAATTACAACCAAAAATGGCGGATGAGCACGATATGCAATTTCTTATCCTTGTATGAATTGTTTGTTTACAGTTAAACGTTGCGTTGTTTAACGTCATGATGGCTTCTCGTCGAAGACAAATAGCTGTCTTACAGTCATGAATTTTATCTGGGCTTTCCCCCGGTCCAATTCGAGCATGAATTCGGTCTAGCAGACCAAGAAGATTTTGAATTCGACCTGGTAGAACAAGCGCATGGTAGGAAAATTTCGAGGTGAAAGTTGTGTTGCCTGAAGAATGGAGGGAGAATATTAGGATGTCTTGCGGTTTTTTATTCAAACTGAGCGAAGAAGTGCGGCCATATATTGAGGGAACGACGACTTGAATGAGGAAACCAGTTGACGTCGTAAAAAAAGTGGCGTGCACTTTGTTTTACCTTAGTGATGAGGGCCGGCTCAGAAAGACTGCGAATGCTTTTGGTCTTTCGAAACAAACGTTGTCAAAAATTATTAGAGAAGTATGTACGGCAATCACAAAGCATTTGGGCCTAGTTTATATCAAAATTCTTTTTACAGAAGCTGAAATACTGGAATCGACTTCATACTTTAAAAAAGCTTATGTTATTCCACCGTGCATTTGGGCAATTGATGAGACTCACATTGAAATCAAACAGCCTACAGCAAATTCTACAGAGTACATAAACCGAAAGCAGCGATACAGTATAAATGTTCAAGCTGTTTGTGACTATCGCTGTAGGTTTCTTGATGTCAATGTGAAATGGCCTGGCAGCGTGCATGACGCAAGAGTATTTGCAAACTCTTCAATTAATGACTATATGAAGATTGGAAAGGTTCCTGCAATGCCCAAAGTGAGTGTGGAAGGAGAACAACCCATTCCTGTTTTTCTCATTGGTAATCCAGCCTATCCTTTAATGCCTTATCTGATGAAATAGTATTCTGGTGGGGCCTCTACAGCCGAAGAGCAGTATTTTGGTCTGTCTCTTTGTAGAGCAAGGATGGTGACTGAGTGTTCATTTAGGAGATTAAAAGGGCGTTTTGGTGCTTTGCGAAGACCCATTGGACATAAACTTAACAGAAGCTCCTTCTGTCATCTATGCTTTTTTCTCACTACATAGTTATTGTGAATGCAATGAAGAAGCCGTTACCGATGACATGATTGCAGCGGCATTTGCTCATGATAAAGATGTCCTGCCAACTTCAACCTAATTACGAGAAGTTTAATGACAGACAAAATAAACACTTTACTTCATCAAACTATCTGTAGGTTTATATATAAATTTAATTTAATTAAATTGACTCATATTGTGATTTATGAACACTTTCTATAATCATAAATATACTTTGTTCATTTTTAAATAAAGCTATACTTTGTTAATTTTACAAATACATTTTATCTTATTCAATAGAATTTTAGTTCATTAATAATGCTTAAAAATTGAATTATAACACTAATTTACTATTTTAATGTAATATATTATTACAAGTATTCTATTGAATCTGTTATAGAATATTACATTACTTCTTCTTCATAAAATCCTGTAAAACATTTCTAATATTCCATTTCAATTTTATTGAATATGCTTTGAGATATTCTATAACATGTTATAGAACATTGTAATATTCCATAGAATATTTTGGTAAGGGAAAAGTAGTCAAAAAGAACTATAAAAAAGTCTTCTGTCTTTGAAAGTTTGTTTTGGTAAATAAGAAGCGAATTTGTTCCAGGAAGAAACTGATAGTTTTATATAAATAAACGTAAAAAATTTAGAATTACTTGTAGCTACTTGATTTTGTAACATAGCATAGCTGTTATTTTATATTTTTTAAAAATGGGCAGTTATATAAGAAATTTTATGTATGTGTCTGTTCTTGTATTCTTGTCACTGCCTCCAAATACAACTTGTAATGAGGAGCAGTTCTTTTGGAGTAAGCATGGCTCAAAATGTGGAGTTATGCTTACTCCAAAAGCGGAGTTATACTTTTTGAGTAAATTCAACTCCAAAAACGGAGTCATTCTGTACCATTTTAATTCACTCCACTTTTGGAGTTATGCTTACTCCAAAAGCAGAACTATAATTTTGGAGTAAAATTCAACTCCAAAAACGGAGTCATTCTGTACCATTTTAATTCACTCCACTTTTGGAGTTAAATCAACTCCTTGAAATGAACAGTGAACATAAAGCACGGGCAGTGAACATAAAGCACGTGTAGCTTATAGCCGTTTTATTATTCAAGCATCATTTTTGTTTCATTTCATATAATACTAATAGAGAGAAATAGCAGAGAATCACGTGATGAAGTTCATGCATGCTATATGGTATCCATATTATTCAAGTATGTACCTTTACAGGCTTTTCTGCGTTCAAGTTTTCTGATAGCTCTGTGCGTTGCAGGGGAAGTGGTCTTGATTGCTCTGGTGATACTTCTATTTTGTGTCCGTGTATTTCATGTTGTTTTTGAAGAACATTTTGGAGATCTAAAAGAGTTACAATTTCAAGCTGAAATAACAAGGAAATTAAGAGGTCAAGTTCAGGCAGTGGCTTAACATTTTTTAAACGGTCGTACATTTATTTAGTTAGTTTCGTGAATGACTGTCGGGTAGCTGATAAGTGCTTGAATTACCGTAAAGTGTGCGGATTTTAAAAAACTTCACTAGCTGTCAAAACATAAAGGATGAAATGTTTCTAAGTGATGTTTTGGCTGGTCTGCATAACACCATCAACAATCACATGTCACGATAAATAATAGAAATATTTAAAATAATGAAACCTGCCGAGTATAATTGGGCCTTAAATTATCTTGGATTATTAATTTATGTATATTTTTTGTAGAAAAATAATAAGGGCAGGAAATGCGTTCGTCATACTTTCTTTTACAAAACATAGCATGTTCATGTGAAGTAAAAATAAATGACAGAACTATGGTTATAAAAGAATCAGATGCAAAACTACAGCATGGACCCACATGGCTTATCAACATATTAAGGTTTATTTCACAAACTCCAGTTTCTGTTTTGACTTCTCAAACGATTGCATTACAGTTATGAGTGAAATGATAGGCATTCTTATAGAAATTAATGTCCCTTAAAAATCTAAAATGGAATACATATTTGAATGAAAAAAACCTAAATCCTTTTTAAGTCCGAGAGTCAAATCTGCACATCATGTCACAAAATACAAAATCATAAAATGATATGAAAAGTAAAAGTATGTAAGAATTGATCATAATAAATGAAAATGAAAATTACTTCAGTATTGCGAAAGAAGTTCGATTTGAAATAAAAAACAAACAACTTTCTATAACTGAAGAGATAAATGTGTGTAATCATAAGTACCCAAACAAATAAATCACACTTTCTACCTTCGTTCTTCTCAAAAACTATAACAGCATTGTTGTCATCTAACTTGGAAACGTCATTATTTACATCGCCGCCACCAGAATATTTTTCTGATTGGAAATAAATTATTAAATCATCTAGTGATGTTCCATCTGGTAAATTTGAAACGTACAATGAAAACTGTGACATATCACTACACTACGTTTATATAAACCAACAAAGTATATAGCGCAGTGAAGTGAGGTGTGTAAGCCAACACAGTCATTTGAAACAATTAATAATTCATTAAAATCTTTTTCCAAGAAGCAATGTCCCAGGAAAACCATAAAACTAACTTTTTTCGTTTTCAGAACAAAATAATTCCTTAAAATAATTGACAACCTTGAGGAATTGATCAACCGCGTTGATACATAAAAATTGCATTAGCTCATTTGTGAATGTATTTCATAAAAAAAAAACAAAAAAACATTAAAAGCATTTCAATGCGTGGGATTTTATTCTTGGGAAATTTATAAACATTGTTATGAAGCAGTTTCGAATTAAAAAATTGACCTCTAATAATTTATTATGGATAGATCAGTCACTGTTCTCACCAATGGCGTAGCGTAACCGTTTTGTGACAAACACGGTTTGTTGTCTTAACGTAAATCTGTTTAAAAAACGTGGCTTTAAATGCCCTCCTTACATGATGTCATTACCGTAGAGTGAAAACAGAAAGAAAAATCATAATATGGGATTTGGTCAGTCGTTCACGAATTATATAGTACTTTGTTGTCTCGAGTGTAATTTTGTTATTAAAGTGAAATTCGAAATTTTAGTGCCAGCTTTCAGAGAGCAAAAACAACGTTGTCTTATGGATGGAAATGGTAGCGTGTATTAGAAAAACTTTAACAATGATTAAATACCATTAATGCCTGTAAAAATTTACTCATGTTTCTTTTGGCTATATCAGGTCTCATAAATGCAGTAAAAAATCAACTTACGAATAGCTTATTCTTTTCGCATAGACGTTGTTAAAGTCTCGATGGAACATTAAAGGCAACTGAGGTTTAAATGAATCTTCAAACAGGGCAAAATTAACACAAGTTCTTTGGGCTACTAGTATGCAAAATAATGTAATTGATCACATTGAATTTTTATTTTCAATCTAATTTCTAATTAAGCATTATAAAAACGTATTTAACAATTTAATTCTTTAAATGAGATATGATCTTTGCACATTTAATTCTTTGTGCGAAATTGACTGCCAATTACGACTAAATGCACAAGCAATATTTTAAAAGACATACGATAAAATCAATTTGGATCAGTTTTGATCAGCGGTTTTATGCTTAAAAGAAGTTACTTGAAAGAACGAAAAATGAAAAGATATGAGCTCTGCATTTTTTACAAAATACCAAATTGCTCTTGGAATGAACTAGCTACTTTTCCCATGGCTTTTAAAAGTCTATTAACGTTACAAAAGAGTATTCATGTTGTACGAAAAGTAAAAAGGAATGCCCGTGAATTTCCTACGTGAAGATAAATGGGGCAGTAAAAAGTAAATTCGGAACCACCGTATTAAGAAGATCATGGTGCACTATATATGTTTTTTGTTAAAAAGTTTATGTTTGAAGAGTTTACAACCTCAAGAAAAAGTTAAGTTATTAAATATATTTAGGAGAATAAAATCATGAACTATGCAACAGTGCTATTAACATCAAAATTTGGAACATATTTAATTAAACAATAGCTAGCTTTCTGATCGATTTCCACGGAATCAACGAGTAGAAGATATTGTTCTTAAATTTGATGTTGCTGTTTTAGAACTATTGTTTTTGTTCTTTTTGTAACTTCCCCTAACGCATGATTGCTTTTTCTTTATATACTTCAAATTGCTACTCTATATGAAATAAAAATACAAAATGTTCACAAATTTTCTATGGTATACATACATGAACGTTTTACACATTTCCCTAACAAGTTACTGAACTGTGATCAAATATTCTGGATAGTATTGACTATCATGAAAGAGAACAAAAATTGTGGGTTTGTTAACGTCATTCACGGTAGATTCATAAGATTCATTCTGGTTCTTTTGAGGAGGAGCAACCATATCGGATTTACCAAGGGTGTATTCCCCAACAGCAACCCTTGCACAATATAGGTAACGCTTTCCAGAGCTACACGCGGAAGCATAACCAACTGACATGGATGCATTCTTTGCAAAGTATACACCTTTCCCATACACAGCTCCTAAATATTAAAAATAATCTAAATTACATCTTGATAAAATTTATAGTTTTATGTACATACTTCTACTACCGACTGCTGCAACGCAACTTCAAAACAGGGTAAAGTCCCAGTATAGAATTTCCGAATATTGTCATTGTTTGTATCTTTGGGATTCTATTGTTTTTTTTTGTTAGTGAATACAAAAATATTTACATAACAAGACCAAATAAATGGGCTCATTACACATATTAAAAATTTAATTTATAGCTGATATATGAAAAAAAATTATGTATACATACCGTTCTCACTTCCAGCAAAAGCACGGTTAAAATTTTTTTTGTTAATTTTATGGACTGTATCAAAACGTGTTCCATGAAACAAAAACATTTCGTTGCTTCCATTTTTCTCATCCAAGCTTTTTCTCTTAAAGAAATACTGTTTGAACAGAGAAGGATTTTGAACGCGTTGAATTTCTATAATTTTATGCTTCTTTTCCGTTTGTTGAAAATGACTCGTAATTTTATCGTATTCGTCTTTTTGCCTTGGGTTATTTTGCATTAATTTAACAAGATGAACTTCAACTTCTTTATTGCTTGCATCAACTGGCTGCGGGTCCCAATAATCAGGCACAGCTATATCATCTGTAGAAAAAAGATGCAGTTACTAAAATTCACAAGTGTCTTACACAACCATTCATCATGTAGTAACATATCAAAAAAATAAATATATACATAAAATTTTCTGGATTAAACCCAACAATTTAGAGATGGTTGTTAAAAGAGTTGTTTGCTCTACTTTTTAGGCCTTGAAATAGAGTAACTTATACAAAGGTGTGTTTTGCAGGGCTGACTGTACTACTAACAAAGACATGAGTTCATTTGCTATTTGTGCACAGTAATGTCCTTTTTTGTATCAAATGAATGTCTTGAGAAATCGTTAATCTGATTTCATTGTAAAGGAAAAATGTATTTCTGTAAAAAATTCTGAAATAATAGTTGGTAAAAGTTTTATCTATTTCACTCTAAGCGTCATAGCTATTTCACTCTAAGCGTCATAGCTATTTCACTCTAAGCGTCATAGCTATTTCACTCTAAGCGTCATAGCTATTTCACTCTAAGCGTCATACCTCTTTCGGATTGAAGACGTTTCCTGGTCACGTTTACAGTGGCATTGTTTGTCAAATTCGTCATTTGCATGTCGTGAAAAACAATTTCATGATTGTCGCCATCAAACATAAAAATAACAGATTTTTTGTTTTTTGAATACGAATGTTCAATGATTGCATTCGTCTTGATGTCGTACTCCTCCTCTTCGCCATTTGAGGTTTCGTAGCACCACTGAACTGTTTGTGCCACCAACTTAGAAAAGCTGGTGAACAAATCTTCTATTTGTTGCTCATCATTCTCTTTGGTTATGAATTTAAAATACTGAAAAATCTCGTGAACAGCTTTGAAAACATTGTCCGCATGTCCGGACAAGATGATACGACAAAGACGTTGGTCTACCTTTGCATTGACGTTCCTCACTCGACATATACGTTGTATCATGTCGAGCTGCTGCTTAGAGAGTGTATCAATGATTTCACTTTCAATTTTATGGGTTTTTGTCTGTTCTTTCAGAAAATTTTTTATTTTATCCTTTGCATCATCGACAACTTTTCTACCGTTGCCATAAATTACTAAGTAGATTTTTTTGTCAATTTCCAGTTTTCTTTCTACAACACTCAAAACTGTTGGCTTCTCCAAAGATTTCCAAACATACCTCATTAATTTTTTGACTATCCCGCGTTCATCATCATGTTCAAAGTTTTTTGCAACAGCCTTAAACGCTGAAAACATTTCTTCATCTTGCAACCCAATACGAACTGTTGCAAGTGAGCTCGAGTTTGTAACAAAAAAACCAATGACAGGAGACAAGATGGCGTTGGCACTGTTTACCAGATCATTCTTGAAATTGCCTGTTTCAACGGCTGGAAGCGAAACACTCTCGAATTTTAGTCCATCAATTTCCTTAAGGCATTTTTCCACACTTTGCTCAATATCTTTATAGTTCGGAGAGTATGGTGCTATCATATGAGCGACGCATTTTGCTTTAAGATTACCTGCATTTGTCAATACAGTATCACCAATTTTTGGCTTTCCAGTAAAAAGTTTTAATTTACACTCGTCATCTAAAACTTTTCCACCAACTTCCATGATTTTTCTTCTTACACCACTTTCCATAGAGAGACTGGGATTGCTGAAATACGCAATAACATCAGTGCTTTCTTGAGTGATGTCACCTTGAACAATTTCTATCTTTTTATCATCTCCAACTTGTATCACAAGGTAACTGCTGCTTGCCTGACCTGGTTTTACTAGATATCTTGTTTGAGATTTATCAGGAAGTTCTTCAATCTCATTAAACTCCACTTGGTTCTTCAATTCATTCTGAAATGCTTGGATAGATTTCACATCCTGATTATACAAAACGAAGCTAACTTCTTTAATCTTGCATTGGCTAACAGTTTTCTCAAATCTCTTGGTCTCTTCAAAAAATATTTTAGCTGCAACTTTATGCGGAAAGCCCAAAATTCCTGTTCCAATAGCAGGAAAAGCAATGGATTTTTTGCCAAGAGTGTGACATTTTTGTAAGCAACTCTTGATGATGTTTCTTAATACCTGCAACATCAATATATGTCCATCTATGAACATTTTATTTTCATGGAATATTTGCCACTAAGGTTTTGGCATACGATCCTAGGTTAAAACATATATTCTCTTTACCATAGTATATTAATCTCAGTTTTAACTGTGAATTTCTAACCAGTTGTATTGCTGCTTTCACTGACAAATTATACTTCTGTGTAAAATGAAGGCTCCACCGTGTTACAACTTTAAAAACATGTCACTGTGAAAAATTTATTTGTGCTAACTAAAATTTCTAAAGAAAACGATCTAGTTAAATTGCTTATGTAATGACCTTTAATCGCTTATTTTTCACAAAATTACAAAAGAATGACGTTTTGGATTTATTTTAGAAATCAGAAAAAGAAGTAAACAACCAAAATTAAAATTATTGATATTTTTATTGCGACTGCTTCCATAACTATTTTTGCCCTTTTCTAGGAAACATTGAATCATCCCTATTACTGAACTACACGGCAAAGTCTGTCATGCATTTAAATTCAAACATTTACTTGTTCTCCTTGTCCATTGCTGTACTTAGAACAAGCAACATGAAATACTTTATCGCAGAGAAGATTTCCACCGCGAGTTTCAGCCACCTCTCCAAACTTCAACCTACGTATCTTGTCACATTCTGCTTGCAATTGTGGTCCAGCCTTTTTACTTAACGCTTTGCCGCACGGGTTCGAATCAAGTTTCAAATATTCCCCCGTGGTGTTTACAAGGACATCTGCCTGCAGAGAATAATTGTTTCAGAAAGTAACATATTTAGAAACTTTCATAAGTTTACAAGGTCATAAGTTTAAATGAAAAGTACAATCCAAATTCCATATCAAAATGTAATATTCATCTATATGCAAAAGGAAATACTAAACTTTTGAATACACAGCAATTGGTAGGAGCATTAGTTGCTCAACATATCTGAAGGAACAATCAATGCTTACAATATAGCCTGTGGAAAAAGCCAACAAACATATAAGTTTTTTATAATCAGACGCGTTCCCTTTACCTGATATGTCGACAAATCTCCCACAATAACAGAAATCTTCATATTCTTCTTGGTGATAATGCAATTACTCGGAAGTTTTTTTGTTGTTACACGCTCGTCAATCTTGAATTCTTTATCTTCACTTTCATCTCTCCTTGTTTGCGACAACACACGTACTTTTCTGTGCCAATGATCTGCAGAATTACTCTTCTCATCTTTGTTTGGGAAGTTAACTTTTGTACCAAAGTTTTCACGAAAATTCTTTAAAAATGCATTTGCGCTTGCCTCGTCGTTGTTCACAAAGCAAATTTCAATCAATGCAGTCTTCTCATTTTCTCTAAAAAATTCCTTTACAGCTTCAATCATAACTGATGCACAAACATCTTTAGGAATGCCAAAGCTGCCACTTCCAAGAGCTGGAATTGCAACAGATTTGTAATCACTAGCTTCTGTTAAAACGTTTTTGCATGTTACTTGCAACAACCTCCGCTTCCTACTTGCCTGGTGACTGTCCCAACGAGGAGCTACTGCATGAACAAGCCGTTTACATGGCAACCGACCAGGCATACCATTGAAACATTCACTTTCACGTAACTTTCCTTCTTTTATCACATGCTCGTCGCATTCTTTCTGAATCTCATATCCTCCAACTTCAAGAACCGATTTTGCGAGACCACCGACATGTTGTAAGGTTTCGTTTGCATCATTCACAATGATGTCGCAATGATAAGCTGTAATGTCTGCTTTTATCAATTTCAAGCTCACATTTTTATCTTTCATTTTGTACGAGCAGAGCAGCTTTGAATTTGGTTGGAATTCACTGATCTCAGGATTTGGGCTGTCATCTTGATCAACGGAGACAGAGATTAGGCATTTCTTTTTTATTTCAATATCTTTAATAAAGTTTTTTCCTTCATCAGACAAAACATACTCCTGCATATCTGGCTTTTCAATGCAAATGTTGTCTTTTACAACATTGACCAACACCTTTTCTATCACACTTATTGCTCTTTTAACGCCTTCTTTTGTACCTTGTACTACAATTGTTGATGTCTCCTGGTTTAGTGCTATGGTCAACGAGAATTCCCTTTCAGCTTCTCCAATTTCTTTGGAATGAAACTTTGATAAATATTTTAAATAACCTTCCGTTGTATCAATGCATTGCTGGACAATAGTGTTTCGTTTTATGAACTCGTTCACCGAGTGGCTGGCTTCTATGACACAAGATTTCTTACCTATTAGTGAAATCGCAGGTGGATCATTCTTTTCAAACCTCAATTTGACATCAGTCTCCAACATCAAGTTTTCTGAAAAATCCTTCCATTTGCTACTTTTTAGAACAGCGTAACTGTCTTCCTCGACATGAATCTGTTTTTCAAACATTATTTCATTCATGAAAGTGGTTACGCTGTTGACTGTTCCCACATCAATAAAGAGAATGTTGACTTGATTTTTCTTTGCTTGTTTAAGATATGCCATTGCTTTCAATGCTTTCATTTTCAGTCCAGTGTTCAAAATCGTAAGTCCACCAGATGTTAAGTAATCATATCTTGCATCGCTTACATCTACTGTTTCGTCGACTATCTGAGCAATTTGAGCAAGAATTTCCTTTTCAGCATTTAAAATTTGGTCTAGATCTCCTTGTACATTAAGCGTGTGTTTTTGATCGTCAATAGTTACAATGACGTTGTGATGTTCTGTCAATGTTTCATTGAAACCTTGTTGAATGAGAAATTCTCTTTTTTTTCTTGGAATGTCTTGTAATTCCAACCTGAATAATCCTTCTGATACTTTTTCCATCTTGGCTATTTCATTTCGAAATTGTTCGCAAACTTTCTCAATTTCACAAGCGCGTGCGACAACTTTTACTTGCAAGGCGTCATAATCCAGCTCGGCCGTAATTTTGACGTATTCAAGTTTCATTATTAAATCTTTTAACTTGTCTTGAAATTTTTCTAAAGTTTTATCGCATATCTTTATGTGTTCTACGACAAAATCTTTTAAGAATGCCTTGACTCTTTTTGCAATATTCTCAGGCAACATCAAGTTATTGCCACCGTTTTCTTGAAGCTTTTCACACAACTCAATGCCAAATGCGTCAGAAAATTCTTGTTTGTGAAACTTGATTACATGCTGAATCACGGGAAAACATGAGTTAACTTTCTCCATGTTGATTTCTTCTATTTTCTCCATAAACTGATAATGTTTATGCAACGTTAAATCAAAGTTATCTAGTCGATGGTTCTTTGAAATCAACTTATCTAAAACTAACAGGAGAATGTTAAAATTATAATGATGCCTTTCTAGATCGCAAAGTGTTTGGTTTTTTTTTGTACCATTGTCAGCCTCAAGTTCATGAAGTTACAAAGTTCGAAAGAAAGCAATTATATATAAACACAAAAAATTCTGTTGATTTTGTGTCACTTTACTGTTATCAGTAATCCTCATTAATATGAACTATCGGCAATGGTTAGAATATCGATTGGGGAAAATAAAAATTATCAGACGTTGAACCAACCGCCCATGTTTGACGACTTTTAGGAGTCCTTATATAAAGTATAATAGATATTTGATAATAACAAGGTATAGTTTTTTGTAGAAATATTTATAATTTTTTTTCTCCCTCTAAAAGACACAATAGTTTATTTGATATATAAAAATTATATTGTATTAATTCCCATTAGATTGTTTATTGGTATACATTTAGGGTTCCCAGAAAGTCATAATTGGGAAGGAGGTAGCTAATATTTTTTATGCATTAAATTTCTTTTGAAATCAATTGATTTTTACGAGCATTAACAACGAATATATGAATATTCTTCCCCAACAAAAAACGTTTTAACATCTTTGTATATGTGTTTAGCTATAAAATACAATTGTATCCTAGGTGTATTTAAATTTCTTTGATCTTTAAGTATGTCGATTTTTGCACTTTAAAGACTTTGCTAAAAGATTGTTTTCAAGATGCATGCATTTACATTCAAACACATATCTGCCACACCATAAAAATGAACACTACCAAAAAATGCTTTTGGAACTAAAAGCTTGGAAATGTTTTTGGTGGCCCATTTTTGAAGAGTAGACTAATTAATCTATTAAACTAGGAAATCAAAATACAAATATATCATGGAATACAATAAACTTTTTCTTAACCTCACTTTATCGGTTTTTATCACGAAGGTGTTTTTTAACAATCATATGACACGACGAAGTTAATTCAGTATTACGGCAAATTTATAATCGATTTTTGTATAAAACTTAAACGCAACTCTTAAATTTGTATCAAGTAATGTCATCGTGTTATTTGACAATTTAAATCCTCCACATCAAAATAAATACAATGATCGAAGCAATTGTCAGTTTTAGTTACGGACAATGGACTGGCCTAATAACATTAAGTAATATCTTCAGCACACAGTGAGCAAATTTTTAGTGAAGTAAGCATCATATATATCTTGAAAAATCAACAATTTTCATGTATGCTTATGTTTCAATAACACAATCACAAATATCTACCCTACAAATTTGATAGATTTATTGTAACTAGGAATCAAATCCATCAACATAACACAGAAACTCTTACTAATTTCATAAGTGGTAAATTAAGTAAAAACGCACCTTTGTAGAAAGGAGTTTGTGTTTTTTACAATTAACTTTTCAATCTTGCATGCAATGCATTATCTAAAGATTAGTAAAATGGACTTTATCATCCTTACCATCTGGATCACAAAACGAAACAACAGCAATTCCTTTATCTTTTTGATGTATTATGTCACCATAGATCTTTCCACCACCGTTCTGTTCTCTCTCAAAATACATCTCAATCGTATCTTTTGCTGTGTTTGAAGAAAGTCCTCTCACCAAAACACTGTTGCAAACAGGTGGAAAGGAAATTCTCAAAGCTGCTCCATCTAATTTCCTATTTTTCTTTATTACCTTTTCGTTTTCTGTGTAAGATAGCGAAGTATTTTCAATGCTTACAACGTAAAATAAAAAATCTAACAAAAATAATCCTGTCATTTTGCTTTAACTTTTAACTTCATTTCAAGTTTATATTGATGTTGTTATGAATATGTACTTTACATATTATCTCCTGGAATTAGGTGATCCCATTTTTTTAAAAAATACATTGTGATTATTACTTAAGAAAAGTCAACTAAGAAAGCAAGTTTTTCTCACCTAAATCTCTATGAAAAAAAACAATAGCTTTGCCCTCGTTACCCATCCAAATGTCTTGCACCGGAACGCTTGTCAATGCTTCCATATAAAATGTCAATCCATCCTTGTGAGTTCTTGGGTCGATGTTTTCGACGAAAAGTTTTCTTTTATCTCGTGAAAGATATAATTCAGGTTGTTCACCTTTCATTTGCAGCAAGTAGCCACACAGTTCTAGTTTCTGTTTGGCTAATACTCTTGCTGCCACTGAAATGAAATAGATAAGAATATCTAGGAAGTTAACCACTGATTTAAACATGAATGTCTTAAATTTACGCATGTTTCTGTTAAATCATTGATCTGTACAATCATTGGCATACAAACATTTATCATCGCTTAAGAAACAGGTAAAAATCTCTGTCTTGATAAAAAAAATGAGAAACACGCCAGTAAAGTTTTCATTTACAAATTATAAAATTCAATCAACACATTGCCACAAGTTGTAAATGATTTAGTAAAATACTTTATGCAAACCTTCTGCACTTTTGAACGTGATAAAAGCAACATCCTGTTGACGCCGCTCAAATTTTTCAATTTCTCCTCCTTCTGATCGCATTTCACTTTCAAAAAAAAGCCTTATTGTATCATCTGTTATATCAGAGCAAAATCCACGAACAATTATTGATCGAACTTCGCCAAGTCGAGCCTAAAGGTAATTTCCATCAGGTGGTGTGAAAATATTCAAAACATATGTTCCACATAATTGTATACTTTATATATTTGCTGCATGAATGGCTACATCATGGAGTTCTTATTGAAAATAATCAAGTCATTGCACACCACATGTTCATGCTTTAATCGGTTCCACTCTCTCATATAAAGACTTCACAAATTAAAAAGTGTATATTATATCAGTAGCGTAGCCAGCTTGCAGATTTTCTCCCGCTTTACTGAAAGATTATCACCATTCATTTCTTTAGAAATGTATTGTTCTCACGGTCAGTGAACACAAAATATTTGCATATCGGGAGTAGAAAGTTGGGCTGGCTACGTTACTGACTATAATTCTATAGGTAATAACTATATTTTCAATTTATATATCATTATTCTCAGGTCACCAATCTTGATTAACCTAAATCGTTTTTATAAGTGGCCTTCACTACAAATTGCATTAAATATGACAAGGATGCTGCATGTAAGACTTTAATGAGTAAAAATAAATATTATTTTTGTTGTTGTTGCAATTCACACACCTTTTCTGTCGATGGTGAACGTTGCTTGGGCAGTGGTCTGGATTGCTTTGATGATACTTCTAGTTCGCAGCCATTTATTTTATGATGTCTTTGAAGTACATTTTGAAGATCTGAAAAAATTACGACTTAAGCATAAGTCAATTTTTTTATCGAGTGGCTCAACGCCATTCAACAATTGTAGCCTCCCCTTCTCGGGGACACTTTCTTTATCTATTATGTTTGTATTGAGTACGACTGTCTATCATTTGGTGACTTTGGTTGACCTATATAAACAAAATCAGCTCTTAACTCCAATTCTAATGAACTCTAGAACAAAATTAAAATATGCCTATTTACGTAGAAAGCAATTATTTTAAATCGCATGAGATAAAGCCTGTTTCGCACACAAAGTTCTTGTCGTTCGAAGAGATTGCACGAAAACGACGACTTGTGCGAAAAAAAATTTAGCAATAAATCAACGGTTTTGCGTATTCGCAACAAGTTAATCATTCAATATTATAAATAAAATCTCTCTGGGGAGTTGTTGTATAAAAAAGCCCTGTCCATTAGAAGCGGACTAAGTACTCATGAATAGACGTGAATTTAATGTAATGATTGAAAACAGATATATTTTGCAAGACTTTGGCTACGTTCACGAAAAACACTTTATGTGTCTTACACAGTGCTGTTTTCATTGAAAGTATCCATTGATATAGCTAAAGAATGTTACAGAATCAATGTTTCTCTTTTGGGAAATCGAGTTCACACAAATGTCTACAACAAAAATTTAAAATATGCATGCTGCTTTATGACAAAAAGCAAAAATAACAAGCACTACCATCCTTCGATCTCGTTAAATCATCTCTTAATAAATAAGTTTTAAAGTGTTTATTCTAGAGTGAGTTTCTGTTGAGTTCTAACTCTTTCGAACTATTGCGAAGACGGTACGCTCGAAATTATTTTACGTGCGCAGATTTTTATAAAACCTTACAAAATCTATGGTAAAATATATATTTATTACTTATATTAAACGAGAGAAAACGATTTTAAGATTGTTAGAACTTGTCAATAGTCCTTACGACAAAGCAAATCATGAAAAGTGATATGAAAATAAACGCATTCAAGAGGGATTATAAAAACAAAAATGAAAGTTATTTTGGAATTGCGGGGAAATCTAAATGTATATAAACTAAAAAACTTTCTTTCACTGAGGATATAATTGCGTATAATCATCGTCGGGCAAAGTCACATTTTCTACCTTCGTTTCTCTCAAAGACTATAACAGCGTTGTTGCCATCTACCTTGGAAGCGTCAAAATCGACATCGCCGCCACCAGAATATCTTTTTGATTGGAAATAAATTACTAAATCATCTAGTGTTGTTCCGTCAGGAAAATTTGAAACGTACAATGAAGACTGCGACATATTAGTACATTATGTTCATATTAACTAATAAAATATATAGAACATTTTGGTGAAGTGTTTTGTGAGGAAGCCAACACAGTTCTTTGTAACAATGAATAATTCATTACAACCTTATTCCAAGAAGCAAATTCCCAAGAAAAAACAACAATATTTCAATTTTTCTGATCAAATACTAAAGGCTGATTCACAATCTTGATCCGATTGCCAACAACGAAGATTTAATGCATATCAAAGTAAACTGTATAGCAGCTCAATGGTAGAGCAACTTAATCGTGAAGATTTTGATCTTTGTCGGTTCATAACTAATAACATTATATAATCGCAACCAGTAAGTGAAAGCAACTAACAATTCAACTGACAAGAGCATTTACATAAAGCTTTATGTTTGTGAAACGTGGCAATTGCGCAGCAACATGAGATTCAGTCAATATAGTATACGAATTTATTTCCCCTAAGTACGTGAATATACAACGAAAACTCTCAATCGAGAGTCCCTCGATTATAATGAGTGTTACATTTATATTCAAGCTTTATAAAAAATTAGTGTTTTCAGGTTTCATTTATTATTTTAACTTATTCAAATAATGACAATCGTTCCCGATAGCGTAATGATATGTGTACTTTTAAGATATGTTGTAAGCTCGAATGCACTCTAACAATGCGGTATTTTCATCCTTTTTGCATTCTCATGCCTGTTTTGTAGAGAGAATAATTGTCGTAATGAAGTTTATAAATAAAAGTTAACTGAAATACATTTATTAAGTCAAGAAAATGCCAGAATGTTTTGATTTACAAAACTTTTTTTTACAGTATAAAATTACACAGATTCTTCACTTTTTATTTTGATAAATTCCCAACTGCTAACACGTGCACCAATTTCTAAATTAATCTCTTATTTTTGTCAAAAAACGTAAAATATCATTAAGAGTTTTATGCGCGAAATTTATCAGGATTTCCGACTAATATTAAACGGCTTAGGTAAATCGGAAATTAAGTTGCTTGCCGTATGAGGAAAAAAATAGGTGTAAGCTAGCTATCGTGAGTAAAGTTAAGCTTGACACGTTCTGTCTATCTAGCGATACTTTATTGATGAGGTTTATAATCACTTAAGTTCAATAATGAGTAAACCTTAAGACTAAATATCAGCTCTACGCTATACTTTATCTTATTTTCTATCCTATATATAATCGGCCAATGCTCTACTTCTTCATAAATTCTCTACTCTGAACATCGTATTTGTCATGGCGAATGACTAGTAAATCTTAAAGACAGCTATAAAATTAAACGACACGGTGCATTTTGGCAGACTTCTCATCAGGAGCCAGTTTTATAACCATCTTTATTCTGTTTGCTATAATTCTTTTAAGAACTACCAACTGCCACTCGCCATTCATGACACAAAATGTTCTGTGCAATAATTAAGTTTGTATAAACCACAACTAAGTCATTGCTTTACAACGCTAATACACATTTGAAACTTAAACTGAACGTGGTTTGGATGAAACATATAGACAAATTAAAACAACATAAATAAATATTCGTACCTGAAGTCTTTGCAATCGCCAATATCTTCTTCATTAATTAGGGCAATGCCAAGTCAGCGTTTTTAGTTAACTCTTTTTTTCGAAATTTAGGTACAGTGTATAAAACAAACAGTAACGCCACTCCAATGAAAAATTTGAGTGACCAAATATTTAATTACGCATACCCACTAGTCAGTTGCATTTTCTGATCAACATAAACACAGAGTATTTGGCTATTTGCAGCCAGTAAGTCTTGCTCAACATACAGCACTGTACAGCACACCAAGCTGTAAAGCGATGGGATGTGTTATACTGTGATTTGTTTGAGGTTTAAACTGTACAGTTCACGAGGTAAATTATCATTATATTGTCATGTTGGTCGAGAGAGTTAACTTGTTTGTGTCAATCCCTTTGAGGATTTGAAGCGATATTGGCTTGGAAAAACTACGATTAAAATGTATTGGCACCTGAAACGGTAATTATTTTTTTCTATTGAAAAGATGAAATGAATTATCGCATACCAAAACTTTACTTAAAAAAATTGTTTTGTGATATTTTGAGTAATTCTTTGGTGCATTTCGATTGTCAACTGAATTAAACAATTCTTGCTTAGCCCTGGTTCAAACGTCGAACTTTACATGAGCCGAACGCATTTAAAAGAAAAGATAATGAGGAAGTTCTTTCATTTTCTTTTTCCTAAGCAGTAACTAGCGGTGTCGTCAGATCAAAATTATGATCTTGATGTGTAAATTTCAGATTGTTATATGCTGCTTTCTCCCCATCATCGCTCTACCATGTCAAACTTTAAAATAGGCTTTTGTATGGGTCTACGTCACCAAATGTCAGACCAACTCAAGCAACTAATTGTTGAGGATTTCTTCCTCTTTAATAGAAGTTCCCCTCAACAAATCACGAAGGGTGAAAGCAAAAGACACTTTATTTCCTCAATTTTACCGCAACTGTCACACTATCGATATTATGCTCATACACTTACAGTGGCGTAATGTTACGTCATAAATATACGGTATTCAATCCCGGACATAATCACTTATAACTTTGCTACCATAACTTTGCCATGCAAAGTAGCACTGAATGTAAACTGCTTGAAATTAACGGCGTTGAAATGCCAATATGTGTTTTAAAAACGTGTTCACATCTGTTTGACATGAGGCACAAAAATCAAATTTTGCCAGCATTTTACCGATCTGATTGTCCCCATTATTAGGCACATTAGCGGATGCAAATCCCCCGAATTTTGTGAAATAAAGTAAATGACCTAATAAACGTGTAATAAAATCTACCAGTTCCAGAGGATCATTAAATGAGTACGAGGCGTTTATATAATTTCCTTCACTTTAGTGTGAGCGAATTAAAATAATACCAACACTAACGGGTTCTAAAGTCAATTCAATACTAAAATAATTTTATCACAAAAGTAATGTGGTGGTGGTGAGTCGATTGGAGACAGAGTTTATTGGAGGGAGGTGTTCTATCCAAACTCACTTCAATAGAAAATTTGTAATATTTAGTTATTTTGCCTAAATTCTTCCAATTTAACAGAACTTATATTCTTATGGCTCAGTCTAGCTGTTTATGTTTCTCCTGCTTGATAACAATTATGCAACTGAACATTTGTCACATGGAAGCATCGTAAATAATCTGAAAGGGTATCATCAAACTAGGCTTTCAGTATAAAAAAGTCTCAGTAGCTGAAGATGTCGACGGGCAAAGACACGTAGGTATTTTATTTGCAAAAATTATATAGCAACAATTTTGTACAATAACAAAGATGTCTTAGAAAACCGAGTTTCGGGTTGAGTCTAAACTTTTTTTCTAAAACATTTTTATGTTTATAGAAATATTATATTCATTACTTAGGTAGTCAATGATGAAATTACACATATTTAAAATCGTTTAACAGCACCTTGTCTTGAGTAAAATTTCAAGTGAAGGTGATAAGGTACTCGGGATAGTACTGATTATCGTAAAACAAGACATAAATTTTCGGATTGGCCATGTTGTCGACAACAGAGTCGTAAGCATTACCCGGAGATATGTCTGGTGGAACTACGAAACTTGGGTTACTACGAGTATATTTACCAACAGCAACTTTGGTGCGATACATATATCGACTTCCGGTTGAGCCATATGGCTGTGCATATCCAGCAGACAAAGATGCATCAGTAGCAAAGTATACACCTCGTCCGTGAGCCGCTCCTAAACAGACAAAGGGCTATCAAAATGGCACAACGTTTTTCATGATGAGTTTATTGACTTGTTGAATATTAAATTTAACATTATATTTATTCTTGTAAGGAAATTGATAACATGTTGTCAGTTTTCACAAAAGTACAACTTTTAGTTGAAATGTTAACTTTAACATATGCAGTCTGCTGGAAGAAACAAATGTAATGAAAAAATTTTAAAGGCAAGATGAATTGAGCAGTCAGTAAAAAACTTTACTGTAAGCATATTTCTTGATCGCCTATACATTTAAAAAGATCAATTGCGTACATCAGGGGTCTCCAAACTTTACAGCCAGAGGGCCACATGACTTTCATCCAGCATGTTGAGGGCCGACGAATCGTATACCGCTGGTCAAAGAGCGAATATTTTAATAAAACGGAGTACATAACACAAGCTTCATTAGTTAAGAAAATATTTATTCAAAATTTAAAGGTTAAATTTCAACAAAGTGTAATATCATAACAAAATCACAATTAGTCTGTTCAGTTTTCTCAATGTGAGTGGTGAAATTGGCTTTCTTAAGTGTCTCTGCGGGCCGGATTGAGAGGCCCAACGGGCCGCATCTGGCCCGCGGCCGTAGTTTGGAGACCCCTGTGGCGTACATCAATATCCGGGATCTTACAATCATTTCAGACTTACCATGAGAGTTACCAGCAAAACTTCGATTCAGTCCACTTTTGTTGATTTTTTGTAAATTATTGCCTGCTGTGCCGTGAAACAACCATTTTTCACAGCTTCCATTTTTTTCATCCAAACTTTTCTTCTTCAGCAGATACTGCTTATACAAAGTGGGATTCTGGACTCTTTGAATGCTAATTATGTTGCGCCTGGCAGTCTTTAAGAAGTCAGCGCTCACCTCATTGTATTCCTTCTGATGACGGGGATTCTGCTGATCCAAAGTAACAAGATGAAAGACATGTTCTTTGCCGTTTGCATCACGAGGCTGAGGATCCCAGTAATCAGGGAGAGCAGTTTCGGCTATTTACAAAACAGAATTTTGCTTCGGTCAAAAGGGTTTAATTTCTTTCATCGCAATACTTAAACAAAAATTGTTATAATTAAAACTTTCAAGAAAAAAATCTCAAACTGCACAACAAAAGCTTCTTAAAGACATACATAAAGGAAACTCGAGCGAATTGTCAAATGTCAAATATCATTTTCTTCGAACGACTGCTAAAATTGTCATAAAAAGTGAAGGCATTTGTGTGAAATCAGAGCTTCAAAGCATTCAACGTTTTACATGATGCCAAAAAGTAGCCAATACTTTTGACAAGCAGAGTTACCCAATCTTGGGACCACATCAAGTATTGCGTATTTTTGCATAACAAATCGTTATTCAAAGAAATTGGACACGATATAAGCAAACAGTTGTCTGAAAAATGTTGTTATAAGTTAAAACATGTGTTGAATTCGTGAGTACGTTAACTCAGCTTGTTATATCACCTTGTCATGATAACTGTACAAACACATTGCATGACAACAGCAGAGCAATCTTCATTCCCTTCGACCAAGAACGCTTGTAGTTTATCGCAAGTCGATTGATACATTTGATGATACTATATTACTAAGGACTGTTTCAAACATCGAACTTTACATTCACCGAACCAATTAAAAATAGGTACGCAATGCGTACAAGTGGGTAGCCTACAAGTAATCAAGTAATTGTTTAACCATTTCTGCATTTTTCGAACGCTTTAGCTTAGATTGCACGCCTCGTAAATGCATATGCTCACAAGAATTACATCAAGGAAAGTAACGTCATTTAGATTTCTTGCAATTTTTTAGAGGACATGTGCAGAACGAAATGAAGAATTGTTTGGAAAACAGCATTGCGATATTTCCCGACAAAGTAACGAACACACTAAACGGCGTTCTTCGTCATAGCTCGTACATCCGACTATCTCGGAGGATAACGACAGACAAATTAACAAATCGACCGACGGACACTTGTTCAGTGTAGCATAGTGGTTAGCTTCGCATGCGCAGCAACTGAACAGCAAAAAACCTCACTTGGGCTGTCTTAAGAAGCGATTTGCAAAAAAATACTTCGATATTTTATAACACGTAATGATTAAACGCTATTCGACAATTTTGTTAAAATTGAAACGAAACGTACCTTTGAGATCTTTTCTTATTATTTTCAGTTTATGAGTTGAGGTTTTCCCTAACTTCGCATCGAAATCAATTTCACAATCTTGTTTTTTGAAGCGAAACTCTACGGACTTTTCCTTCTTGCTATACGCCTTCTCAATTATGGCATTTGTTCCTGGGTCATATTCCTCTGGAGCTCCAGTTTTTGGATTCACATAGTACCATTGGATACACTGGGAAACAATATTGGCCAAACCCTTATCGAATTCAATCCTCTTTTTCTCTGTTTCTACTTTATCAAGTTCTTTTAAAAACCGGAAAATCTCATTTTTGACTTTAAAAACGTCATCAGGATGTCCGTACATCAGAATTCGGTCAAGGTTTACTTCAATTGTAGCTTGGATGTTGTTAGCAACAAACAAGTCTTGCAGATCCTTTATTTGCGAGGTTGATAAGTTCTTAATGTTTTCGTCTTCAAATTTGTCCTTTTTTTTCTGGGACTTGATAATATTCGAAATTCCTGTTATTGCCATTTTTAGAGACTCATCGTCTTTAGCATAGATCGATAGATCGATTCTGGCGTCATTTTTTGATTTTGGCTGTACAGTAATGCGAGGGACGGACGATCCAGAGAAAGGATTGGTAATTTTCTTCCATAAGCTTTGATCGCCACATTCGCTTATCGTCTTTACAGCTTTCTGGAATACTTCGACGAGTTCGTCGTCCTTCAAAACAACACGAACTTTGTTGGGCGAGCCAGGATTTGACCGTTGGGAACGTATGATTGATTTAAGAAGAGTCAAGGCAGCCTTTTCAGGATCGTGGTTTAAAGAGCCCGTTCCAACGGCAGGTAATGAGACACTTTGAAGCCCCATTTTTCTTATGGTATCAAAAAAATCTTTCAGGCAACTCTCAATTTCATTTAAACTTGGATTGCTTCTGGCAACCATATGTGCAATATATTTTGCCCTCAAAGTCCCAGCACTAGTCAAGACAGTAGAGGAAGCTAACGGCGGGCTACTATTTAAAGCACTTTTACAGGCACGTTTGATCTCTCTTCCCCCAGCTTGAGATAAGGCTCTGGCAACGCCACTGCGCATCACTAAGTTGGAGTTGGTCACATGGGCTATGACATCACTCGACTCTTTCGTGATGTCACCTTTAGCAATTTCGATTACTTTGTTGTCGCAAACTTCAAGACACACTACAATACTTTTATTGTTTTGAGACGAGTTAAAATTTCTATTAAATCGTTGTTGAAATCCACTTGAGCCGCCGTCTTCAGATTCACTGCTGTCATTCCATTCTTCTTGTTGCTTTAATTCATTTTGAAAAGCTTCAATAATTTTCAAATCTTTGCGGAAAAGTACGAAAGCAACTTCTTTCAGGCTACAATTTGAGTTCTGCCTCGCAAATGACTTGGTCACTTCAAAGAATATTCTCGCTGCTTCTTTGTGAGGGAAATCAAGGACACCAGTCCCAATCGCTGGAAATGCAATAGATTGTTTTCCATTTGCACAAGCAGTTGACAAACACTGTTTAATAATTGATCGTAAAACCTGATAATGATAAAAGCCTCGTATAAAATGGTACGAGCTCTGTGTGTAATGGTAGAAGCTCTGTTCATAATGGTACAAGCTCATGTATAATGGAAAAGCTGTCCGTATAACGGTAAAAGCAATGTGTATAATACTAAAAGCACCGTATTCAATGATACAAGCACTGTATGTAGGCAAAACATAGCTTTGTCGACCAAAGTAAATTATATTTTAGCTAACGTGCATATTACTGGCATGTACCTACCTTTTCTCCTTCGCCGTTGTTCCATTTAACACATAAAACATGATAAACACTGTCGCATTGTAAATTACCCCCCGCAGTGACTTTCACTTCATACAACTTTAATGGGCCGATCCTATTGCATTCGTTCTGAAGTTCAGGTCCTGCGACGGCGCTCAATGATCGACTGCAGTGATTGTAACTGAGCTGAAGAGTTTGTCCAGTGGTATTGACCAGAATGTCAGCCTGCACAAATCATAATCAAAGGTTTCAATGACAATGTTACGACTCGAGGATACTCGAAGAATTGATGAATTTTTCGCCAGAAGACAAAATAGATACTAATTTTAAAAAATTATCAATTATGAATCTCGAAAATGTGTTGAGATTCATAATTAAGAAAAACAGTATTTTGAAAACCCCGTGATTAATTTAGCTGAGAACGGATCACGGCAGAAACAACATAACAGTTGAGTATTATTACTCAAATTTAGCAGGCTAATCGAATGAGGAATGCTGGACCGTTACCAAAGACCACTGATAATACGAATCATCAGTAAGTCAAAATCAACAAAAACGATTATGTCATCGTTAACCAATACTAGAGTGGTGCGGCTCACGTCGGAATTGCTATTTTAAAAGTTTTGACCTTTTGTGATAAGATTATGAGGTAGACACGATACTTTCAACATTTGTTTGAACTTTTTACTTAAGTCTGATGTTAAAATAATCTTGATGGCAGTAGCAGATGCAGCGTTCGTCAAAATAAATTAAACTACTCACTTTCAAATTTAAAATTCCTTCACAAATGCTATTAGTTCTAAAAAAAGAATTTTCGCAAAATGAACAGCCAGTGAAGTGTTTGAAATGCAAACTAAGTTCAAAAATGACTGTTGCAATTAACTCTGCCTAACACTGGATCCATCTCTGTTCTAAGCGTTGACATATCATGAAAAAATGCAAAATGCATGTTTCATAAAACTATTATAAATAACCTAAAAAGAATATCAATAATAAAGAATTTGAAAGCAAGACATCAGATAACATGTTCATACCCGATGCTTTGATAAGTCACCAACAACAATATAAATTTTTATATTTCCTTCGATAAGAATATGGTCAGCAGGCTTCCTTTCGCGAATTTTTTCGTCAAGACTCAATTTTGAGACGATTGGTGCTATCTTGCCGAAAGACGAGTTGCTATTAATTTCGACATGTCTTTTTCTTGGTATTGGCCGTGAAAGAAAGTTCGTCTTGACAGAAGAACCACTGCCAAATTTTGAATCAAATTGCCTTTGAAATGCATCAAAGCTGGCCTTATCATTGTTGACAAAATGAATCTCTTTCAGCTTGCTATCACCATGAGTGCTACTAAATTCCTTCGCTGCCTTTAAAAAAAGGGATAGTACGAAAATTCTGTAACGATCAAGTACACACAAAGGATCAGTTGGCAAAAAAATGAGGTTCAATTCATACAAAAAATTAGATACAAGCATATCGAAAAGTAAATATGACTTCTAATTGTTTGAAAGTAACGAGTCCATTGATTGGACAAGAACTCCCTTTTCCAGAAAACAATATAAGTAGGCAAAAATAATAGAAAAATATAATCAATTATTTAAGTTGTATTTTAGAAACTGATAAAACAGCCAACGTCGCTTCGGAGACCTTAATGAATACAAGAGCCTTAGAATGATCACAAAACTGTTTACTAAAACTGTTTAAATCTGTTTCTCAAGTTGTAAACTAGGGCTAACAACAACATTTTGATCATTCTATCGCTAGATAAATATCTGTATTTGCAAACATGGCACGTCAACCACGGCCACACAAACACGAGAGAGATGAGATAACCCGCCATTATAAAATGTTATTCATACACTTCCTTCAACTTTTTCGTATCGCATTAAACGATTACAGTTGACAATTTTCATCATAAACACTAAACACAAACAGTTAGGCAGTTTACAAACCTCAATCATCACTTCAGCGCAGACCTCCTTTGGAACTCCGAAGACACCACTCCCAAGAGTAGGAATTGCGATTCTTTGAAACTCCTTTGCTTCAAACAGCACCTTTGTACATGTAACATGAAGTATTCTACGCGTTTTCTCGTGATTTCTGTCGTTCCATTTTGGAGCCACAGCGTGTATAATGCACTTAAAATGCAGTTTTCCCGGTTTTCCAACGAAACATTCTCCTTCGTAGAGTGGTCCCGCAGCCTCGACGTAAGCGTCGCACTCGTCTTGAACCTCATTACCTGCTGCATCGAGAATGCACTTTGCAACTCCACCAACATGCTTCAAATCTCCGTTTGCAGCGTTCACGATCACGTCACACTGATGTCTCGTTATATCACCTAAGAATAAACGAAGTTTAATCTTTTCCGCAGTTTCGTAATCGCCAATATACCTCGAACTCGGCGTGATCACGCTTGACGAAATCGGTGGTATGGTATTGGAAATGTCTGAAGCACCAGTACTGTCTTCACTGACATGAATTACACAATTATGCCGTGATTCCATTCCAGTCAGAAACACTTTGCCTTCTTGTGAATGAAAATATTGACGAGCACGAGCTTCCACGAAAGAAACTTTGTCCGAAGCCACTTTGGATAGAATGTTATTGATACTCTTTGTAGCTTCCTGGACACCGTAGTTTGTCCCCTTAATTTTTATAATTCCATCTTTGCTTTCAATCTTCACAGACGCATTCATGAAAATATGGCAGATATTCTCAAGCTCTTTCCCATGGTACTCGTTCAGAAATCTGCTCAATCCAGCACCGACGTTCATTTCGTCACTCACAATCGTGTTTTCATCCATGAATTCTTGCACCGCTTCACAGGTTTCCTCCACTTTTCTTCTTTCACCGATGACAGATATCTTATCAAGGCCTTTTTCAATGATATCGATGGAAAAAGGGGTGTTTTGAAGAGCTTTAGTCTTAAAGTCTTGCCAAAGATTAGTCTGAAGTAGATCAACGCTTTCATCTTCCAGACGAAATACTTTCTCATAAATGTTATCATTTAAAAACGTCTCCACATTTTTCACTTTGGTGCCATTGAATACAAGCACTTTCATTTTATTTCCTATCGATTCCTCATTGAATAAGATGATCCCTTTCATTCCAGCGTCTCTCATGCGACAATTGATGGCGTCCAGATTTCCAGACTCAAGAAATCGTTTCTGTGCTTCTTTGATCTGAATGCTATCCTCTGTAATGTGACTGCACTTTTCTAAAATCAAAGTTTTCGCTTGTTGTACTTGCTTCTCTGTTCCTTTGATCGAGATTAGACCAGTTCGCTTCACAATACAAACATCAGCTTGGCATTTCTTGCCAAAAAATGCGTCAAATCCATGTAACGATAATAGTTCCAGTTTATTTTTTGGTACAGTCGTCTCCGTGGAAACAATGTTGAGGCTTTCTTCCATCTTTGATAAGGCGTCTTGAAACATTTGCCGAGCATATTTTTCCTTTTCCTTTCCAACAACAACCCTGACCATACTCTTATCCATAATGGCCGTAACATCATTTTTCACTTCCGGTAACCCACATAGCTTTCGCAATTCATCTTCCGATTTTTGAAATAACTTTTCGCTGAAGGGCAACTCCAAAACAACAAACCTATCAAAATACGACTTACAAGCATTCGCCATTTCCTCGGGCAATGTTAACTCTCCGTTATTTTCATTGATCCTTTGAAGCAATTCGGTTCCCAAATGATCACTGAACTCAAGTTGACATTTTCTGTTTACGTGATTTAACACATAACGATCGACGCTTATCTTTTTATAGACAACTTCCTTGATCTCACGCATGAACTGGTAGTGCTGACAGACACCCAGCTTGGCTCCATTTAATTTCTGTTCTTTAGACCAGGGGTCTCCAAACTACGGCCCGCGGGCCAGATGCGGCCCGTTGGGCCTCTCAATCCGGCCCGCAGAGGCACTTAAGAAAAAATATTATTAAACAAAATAAACTTTGTGCAGAAAGTTCACGTTATGTCGCAAGCCAACTAGCAAGAGTGGCTTACGTCAATTTTTCTACCAACTTCCCACTTCCGTTTCAAGCACATTGCGAAATTTAAAAAGCTAAAGGGTAACGTGGAAATTTTTATATTCTTCGGCCCTCAACATGCTGGATGAAAGTTCATGTGGCCCTCTGGCTGTAAAGTTTGGAGACCCCTGCTTTAGACAATAAAGATTTCAAAACTGTAATTGAAAGTAAAAAGACAGAAATAAGATTTGTCGCAAAATTGACTCAAAAACATGACTTGTCGCAAAAATTGTCAGAAACATGACATGTCGCAAATTTCTTTTTTCTACTTAAAAGTTATTATAAAAGTGCACTCAACCATCAAATAGCTACAAAGCCATAAGGTAAAAAACAAACAGTTAAACTACTGCATAACAAAATATCATCCATGGCAAATATCTTACTACGCAGGTGACTAATATAATGGAAACAATAAACTGCATTTTCTGACAAATGGGAACGCTGAGTTGGGTAACCAAAACGATTAATGCAATGAAATAAACAGTTCCGGGACATTAAATTGGTCCTACCGTTGGTTGCTTACACAGTGATAAAGCTCTATGAAAGTTCAGTACCATAAAGTAGCAAAGTGTGCGTTCGAACTTTGGCGAGCAAAACAAAATTTGACATTATGAAGCAGTGACAACAACTTTTTATACGAAAAACTGTTTCAAACTATTTTTAGTTTCTGCCGTGAGCAAATGAGCACAGAATCTTTGACTTGCTACCTTAGAAACGTGGCTGAATTTCAAGACGAACGACAAATGAGAAGCATTTCAGAGGCCTAAAAACAGGATTAAAACCAAAACAAACTTGACATTGCTAGTATACAACTCTCTGTGTGCGTTAACATAAAAAAGAAAGTGTTAAAATAAGTTCATCTCTTAAGTATTTGTATCTTTTGAAACAGTTGGCATACTCAACCAGCAAAAATGTCATTAACTCTATTAATGTGCATATACATACATCCACCGAATTTTTTATAGTCTTAAGTAAAAGATCACCAACAAATGTAGACTTTCATTTCAACATGTTTTTTATGCTAGTAATATGTAAATCAAACCATTAATGTGAATGATTAGAACCCGGGAGTATCTTTAAATGTCAGTCAACATCAACACCAACTGGACGATCTTCATTCACAAACATCAAACCATTAATGGTAAATTAAAAAGACTCTTCAGACTAGAAATTATTTACATTGCTTTAGAGCTGTATATATGTTTACATATTTTAAACAAGCAGCAAATACCGACCAGACGTACAAAAGAGCAAGTATATACATGCAGGTAGAACAATGAGTAATAATTACCGTCAGGATCACAGAAAGAAACAACTGCTACTCCACGCTCTTTTTGGTGAATGACTTCTCCATAGATCTTACCTCCACCGTATTTCTCACTTTCAAAGTACATCTCGATGGCTTGCTTTGTTGTGTTCTGGGTAAGGCCAGTAATCAACAACGTGTTACATAAGGGAGGATGGGAAATTTTCAGCTCAGCTCCTTCTAAAGGTTTTTTCTTTTTTAATACTTTCTCGAGATCTGTAGAGATCAATGATATGATGAAGTGATACACGTAAGTGAATGGCTAGATGAAGGGTTTTAACCGAACAATTTAATTCAATATTGCTATATGCGCCTATCTTTAGTCACTTTCGCAGGTGTAAGTTGTTAATTTATTTATGTATTAAAATGATCTTGGGAATTATCATCATATACCAAAGCATATCAACAAGACAAAGTTATGTTCATACACAAAAGCAAGACTTTAATTTGTAAAAGACAAATGTGTTTTTTTCAAAATAAAAACAACGAAAAATCTTTTTCATGACCAATCTAAACAGTAGCGCATAGCCAGTTTGCAGATTTACTCCTAGTATGTAAATATTGGGCATCTAAGCATTATTCATTTCTTCAGATACCTTTAACTTTACAGCCAATGAACACCAATTCATCAGCATAGCGGAAGTGAAAAGTCACACTGGGTACAACTGTACCTTGATACCGTTGTCCACGATACTTAACTGTTCATAAGTCATGTAATTCTTTAGTTGTCATAACCAAGTTAAGTAGTCAATATAAAGAACACCCTATATACTTTCTAACTTACCTACTGTGTTTTCAAAAAGGACTATGGCATTTTGACTGTCACCAAACCACAGTTCACAAACTCTTACGTCAGTCTGAAGCTCAATGTAATTTGAAACATTGTCCTTTGTAGTCTTCGGCTTAATGTTTTCGATGTACAATTTGTTCTTGTCGGGAGGAAGATGCAGCTTCGGTTGTTTTTCTTTCAATTGTAATAAGTAACCGTCAAGTTCCAGCTTCTCGCGCTTCAAAACTTCTGCTGCCACTGAAATTATTGCAAAGATTAAAAATTAGAAAAGATTTCGTGATACGTGTGCATATTTCAAAAAGAAAAGTTTCATAATCTTCAGAATTGACCAATGATGTTGTTTCGAGTCTTATTAACAGAGCTGACATACCTTCAGGCTTTGCAAAGGTGAGATGAGCGACATCCGAATCACATCGCTCAAGATGTTCGATTTTACCTCCGCCAGATCTTCGGGCATGTCCAAAAAACATGTGCAATGTTTCGTCCGTTGTGTCAATATTGAGACCGCTTACGATAACTGTGCGAACTTCGTCTAGATATGCTTTTTCCTTGTCAGGAATAGAGTTCTTTCAAAGAAAAATGAAAATTATAATTTTTAAGCGAGGAGAAATCTGAACGTGATCCTTTTGATATCAGCAAAAATTTCTAAGTTGAATAAAAACACAGAATGTTTTTTCCGAATAAATCAAATATACATCTTGGCTTGACAGTTTTATCAAATCTTTTTCCAATCCTAGATCTTTTACTAAAGTTTTCATTTCCGATTACTTCTTTAGCAAATATTCTCATGCAGTTTAAGACTTATCCATCTTTTTTTTTGCTAAAGTCTCTCTAATTGCTGCCTTTTCTTTTCTACTATTCCCAGCTCCTTTTCATTGGTCTTCTCTCAGTCAATTTTTTTCTCCATCCATAACTCAAAGCCTATTCTTTAAATCATGTCGATTTCAATGTCCTTGTTTCTTCATGTAAGTATTTACACTTTGTATTACGCTTTTCTATCCTTTTACGCACACTGTACCACATATTTCAAGGTAGTAAGCCTTTGCTTTTTTAAAAGCAGCTTTAGCTACTGAACTTCTTCATTCAAACATTTAATCGTTTAGTGCTATTGTATTTCTCTATCAATCTTTCGAACAAAACTCTAAGAAAAATCTTTTGATTATTATGTGTTATTAAGCTGACGGTACAAATTCACATGGCATAAGCTCAATCTCTCATCTCTAGTCTATCTTATATATCTCTACAATACTAATCTCGAAACTCACATATGAATCTGTTTATGCTATAGTCTTAACACTGCTTTTGCAAAAGCTGTTGCTAAAGATCGAAGTAGCTTGCATCCTTCTAAAATTTGCTTCCATAAGTTAAAAGGTTTAAAAAATTTCTATATCTAAGTTTTTCCACAACTTTGCCTGTCATTTAAAGCAAACGATTTCCATTGTTTGTCAAATATATTGTCCTTTTTTAATCTACTATCCCAACAGGGGCGCACATTAGAGGTCGGGCATGGGCGTGAGAAGGATTGCAGAACGTAGAACTACTCATTTTTTAGCATGCATTTCCTTGTATATAAAATAAACCAGGAAATCTATACTCCTTAATCTTTTTCCAGCCGACAATTTCAAAAAATAACTCCTTATACAGTTCACTTTCTTTCTCTAGAAAACTTTACAAATTATGCTAGGAGTACTTTTATATCGAAAATTGGAAAAATTACGCTCTTTTTTTCCAAATTATGTTAACAAAAGTGATAGCACTATCTACAAAAGGTCAAGTGCACATTTTATTTGGAAAATTATGTAGCAATAATTTTGTAAAAGAACAAAGGTATCTTAAAAAACCGAGTTTCGGTTTGAGCCCAAACATTTTCCATAAAAAGATTTTATATTTAGAAATTTCATATTCATTAATTAGCTAGTCAATGATGAAATTACACATATTTAAAATCGTTTAACAACACCTTGTCTCGAGTAAAATTTCAAGTGAAGGTGATAAGGTATTCGGGATAGTACTGATTATCGTAAAATAAAACATAAATTTTGGGATTGGCCATGTTGTCGACAACAGAGTCGTAGGCATTACCAGGAGATATGTCTGGTGGAACAACGAAACTTTGGTTACTAAGAGTGAATTTACCAACAGCAACTTTGGTGCGATACATATATCGACTTCCGGTTGAGCCATATGGCTGTGCATATCCAGCAGACATAGATGCATCAGTAGCAAAGTATACACCTCGTCCGTGAGCCGCTCCTAAACAGACAAAGGGCACTCAAAATGTCACTACGTTTTCATGATGAGTTTATTGACTTGAATATTAATTTTAACATTATATTTATTCTTGTAAGGAAATTGATAACATATTGTCTGTTTTCACAAAAGTACAACTTTCAGTTGAAATGTTGAAAAATAGTTTTAATGATGCACTTTCATGGAAGAAGCAAATGTAATGAAAAAAATTTAAAGGCAAGATGAGTTGAGCAGTCAGTAAAAAACTTTACTGTAAGCATATTTCTCGATCGTCTATACATTTAAAAAGATCAATTGCGTACATCAACATCCGGGACCTTACAATCATTTCAGACTTACCATGAGAGTAACCAGAAAAACTTCGATTCAGTCCACTTTCGTTGATTTTTTGTAAATTATTGCCTGCTGTGCCGTGAAACAACCATTTTTCACAGCTTCCATTTTTTGCATCCAAACTTTTCTTCTTCAGCAGATACTGCTTGTACAAAGTGGGATTCTGGACCCTTTGAATGCTAATTATTTTGTGCCTGGCAGTCTTTAAGAAGTCAGCGCTCACCTCATTGTATTCCTTCTGATGACGTGGATTCTGCTGATCCAAAGTAACAAGATGAAAGACATGTTCTTTGCCGTTTGCATCACGAGGTTGAGGATCCCAGTAATCAGGGAGAGCAGTTTCCGCTATTTACAAAACAGAATTTATCTACGGTCAAAAGGGTTTAATTTTTCTCATCGCAATACTTAAACAAAAATTGTTATAATTAAAACTTTCAACAAAAAATATTCAAACTGCACAACAAAAGCTTCTTATATGTAAACTCGAGCGAATTGTCAAATGTCAAATTTCAATTTCTACGAACGATTTCTAACGCATTCGTATAAAATCAGCACTTTGAAGCATTCAACGTGTTACATGATGCCAAAAAGTAGCGAATACTTTTGACAATCTAAAGTTTTGCAAATTTGGGAGTACATCAAGTATTGCGTATTCCTACATAACAAATCGTTATTCAAAGAAATTGGACACGATTTTAAGTAAACAGTTGTCGGAAAAATGTTCTTATAAGTTAAAACATTAATTGTGTTTTGAGCCAACGGGTTTTTGTAGCTGTTTTTAAATTCATCATTCCAATTTCAAGTAAAACTAGACGTTGGACGATACAAAAATGTTGAATTGAAATTGCTACATGAATTTTTAAAATTAATATTGACGGATACATGGCACCTCGCACAAATTTCGCAAAAACCAATTATCGCAATACTTTATTCAGATTTGTCACTCCGCAGTTAATACTTAACAGGGAAAAAATTTGAGTGAACATTAATGTTTTTTATTTACTTTTTTCTAATCACGTTTTGAAAAATCTATTTATTTCCAAGGATTTTGTGTTTATTGCAAACAATGTTTGATAGTAAACGTTTTCCTCAATGATTGCAAATAATATTGAACATGATAAATACTTTCCAAATTACGGTGCTACATCAAGTATGGCGCATTCAAAAGATCCGAACGTTGTAACCAATACGTTTTGTTGTTATTCACTGTGTGAATATTCTCGGCCGTGATTGGTCAATTACCTGCAGATAATTATCGATATCTGTAGGTTATGACATAACCTACAGATAACAGTTTCTACAAATATGGCTGCCATTAAAAGCCGGTTTTGAAAACAAATTAAACAACAGCGATGTTCGCCACAGTTTCTAAAAACGACAATGACCTCGGTCTGAATAATTCTTGATATCATGCTCAATTTCATCCAATAATTGCTCATTGCTATCAATCAATTATTGAAATTGTCAATGACCACTCGAGAGGTTAGGGTTTGGGGTGAGTTCATTATGTACTGAAAAAGCCACAATCTTAATAATTATTGGGAATTATTAAGCATTTTATACAAGAACTTTATTAGGTTACAACATTCGGATCGGCTGCGCATTTCTAGAAAACAAAATGAAAACAATAGAAAGCAATTAACACTTTTCGATAGAAAAAAATCAATATCTATTTCCCAGTTTGGCAATTGCGCCTGACCTAAAGCAAACTAACCTTTGAGTTCTTTTCTTATTACTTTCAAGTCTGGCACCTTAAGAGATGAGTTTTTCTCAATCATTCCATGGAAATCGATTTCACAATCTTGTTCTTTTAAGCAAAATTTTACAGATTTCTCCTGATTGCTATACGCCTTTTCAATAATGGCGTTTGTTCTTGGATCGTATTCTACGAGAGCTCCAGTTTTTGGACCCACATAGTACCATTGAACGCACTGGGAAACAATACTGGCCAAACCATGATCAAATTCATCCTTCTTCCATTCTTTCTCCACTTGGTCAAGTTCTTTGAAGAACTTGAAAATCTCGCTTTTAACTTTTAAGATGTCGTCGGCATGTCCATACATCAAAATCCGATCAAGTTTTTCTTCAATAGTAGCTTCGATGTTGTATGCAAGGAATAAGTCTTCCAGATCTTTTATTTGTGACGATGATAAGTTTTTAATGTTCTCGTCCTCAAATTTGTCTCTTTTTTTGTGCGACTTAATCACATCCATAATACCTGCAATTGTCAACCTTAGACATTCATCGTCTTTCGCATAAATTGAAAGCCACAGGGTCCTGGAGTTATTTGGTGATTTTGGTTTAATATTGATCCGCGGCACGGATGATCCAGTCAAATAGTTGCTAATTCTCTTCCACCAGCTTTGATCACCAAATTCGCTCATGCCGTTCACGGCTTTCTCGAATACCTCGACAAGTTCGTCTTCCTTTAAAACAATGCGAACTTTGTTGGGCGATCCAGGATTTGATTGTTGGCCACGGATGATTGATTTGAGAAGTGTCGAAGCAACCTTTTCAGGATCGCAGTTTAAAGAGCCCGTTCCTACGGCAGGTAACGAGACGCTTTCTAACTCTAGTTTAGTAATCGTATCAAATAAATCTTTCAGACATTTCTCGATTTCATTTAAACTTGGACTGTTTCCAGCGACCATATGTGCGATATAGTTTGCCTTTAAATTTCCAGCAGTAGTCAAAACAGTATTGAAATGCAACGGCGCGTCACGTTTCAATAGGAGTTCGCAGGCACGCTCAATCTCTCTACCACCAGCCTTAGATAAGGCTCTGGCAACGCCACTTCCCATTACTAAGTGTGGGTTTGTCACATGGGCAATGACATCACTAGTTTCTTTCGTGATATCACCTTTAACAATATAAATTTCTTTATCGTCGCACACTTTAATAGACATTACATTGTTCTTATCGTCTTCAGTTGAGAAACTTTTACTAAATCGCTGACGAAATTCACTTGCACCCTCGATTTCAGAATCACTGCTTCCATTCCATTCTTCTTGTTGTTTTAATTCACTTTGAAAAGCTTCAATAGTTTTCAAATCCTTGTGGAAAAGGACAAAAGCAACTTCTTTTAGACTACTATTTGAGTCTTCCTCGCAAACGACTTAGTCTTTTTGAAGAATATTCTCGCTGCTTCTTTTTGAGGGAATCCGAGGATTCCGGTCCCAATTGCTGGAAATGCAATCGACTGTTTTCCATTCGTAGTAGCGGTTGACAAGCATAGCTTTATAATAGATCGCAATACCTAATAAAATTAAAAGCTCCGTCTATAATTATAAAAGTACAACGTGTAAAGGTGCAATCACTCTGTATAATAATATAAGCGCTGCCTACGACAAAAGCTCTGTGTAAAACAGTAAAAGCATCGTTTATAATGATATAAGTTGAGTGTATAATAGTACAAGCGATACAACCTAAGGAACCCGATTGGGCAAAACTATTAAGGGGCCTCCTGATCTGAGAATCACGACAGAATATACCGTTGAAGAAGAAACATTTGCACAGTATAGTCTTTGGCATCAGAAATGAAATTTAAGCGCTAAACAGCAAAATCAGGTGTTCTTTTAAATATTTTTATGTACAACATGTGGTGTTACACCCGTGGAAAAAAGTTCAGTATATAAAGATAAAATTCATTGCTTATAATGATACAATCTCTGGGTATGATGATACAAGCAAGGTATATAATGATACAATCACCACAATATAGCTTTTAAGACCAAGCATAAAAATACTTGATGTCTTACGATACACCTACCTTTTCTCCTTCGCCGTTATTCCATTTAACACATACGACATGATAGACGTTGTGACATTGTAAATTACTACCTGAGGTGATTGCCACATTGTTTAACTTCAACGAACCAATCCTATTGCACTCGTTTTGAAGTTCGGGCCCTGCAGCTGTGCTCAGCGATTGGCTGCAGGGATTGGAATGAAGCTGAAGAGATTCTCCAGTAGTATTAACAAGAACGTCAGCCTGCACAAAGAAAGATGAAATCAACAAAAAGGATTATGTCATTGTTTGTCAGAAGTAGAGCTATGCCACTGGCAGATCGAGCCGAAAATGTGTCGAAGTCACGATGTGATTCTGACACACTCCTGAGATGTTTAAATGCACTGTTTATTAATGACAAATTCTCAAGTCTGATATAAAAGTACACTGGGCTAAAAGTGCGCATCAATGGAATATATGGGTATATGGGCCAGTGTTGTAAATACTAGAACACCGCATGGAACTAACAGCCCGGCTTTCATTGAATATTTTGCTCTCCAGATGTGACGTCTATTCGTGGCGGTGTGTTTATTTTGGTTTTATTACGGTTTGGTAACGTTTTTAATGTAAGTTCTACAAAGTTCCAAAGAGCTATATGTAGCAGAGATATGAAACATTAGCACCCGAAAAAAGGGTGATAGAGACGTTTTTGTGCTTTGACTGTGAACTTTATTCGACGTAATTATTACGCAAATGTAATATTAGTAAATTATTATGCTATGAAAATAAGTAGCCAATTACGCAAAATGTGTAATTGCTCTGTAGAAATGTAAATGCTATAACCTGGTTAGCTTAAAAGCAATGAAAGCCAAGCTTCTTTCAATTCAAAACAACATGGCGGTAGTTTTAAGTAAACAAAGCTTTCCACAGTAGCAATCAAGACAAGTTCAATGATAAAAAGAACGATACGAAGAACAAATTGGTAAGCCGTTTAAGTCTGAGGTATTTTTATACGTATTTGCACGCCAAACTATACTATTACTTATACAACATACAACAACACAGCCTGCAGACTTAATTAACTTGTAACTCACACATGACCGTATCTGCATGTTTAATGATCATAGCAAAGTGCGAAGGTGACATTTTTCTTCAAACTATTACGATTCAAATGGAATCTCAAAGCTTTAATGAACAAAATACTTGAAATCTGATAACATGCGCATACCGTATATTTTGACAAGTCACCAACGACTACAGAAATTCTCATCTTTCCTTTGATAACAATATGGTCAACGGGTTCTCTTTGACGGAATACATTGTCAACACTTGATCTTGAGATGCTCGATGCTTTCTTACTGGCAGACTGGTAATACCCATGCGCAGTTTTCTTTATTTTTGAAGTTGCCCCGGAAATATAATTTGTTTTCCCGGAAGAACTACTGCCAAATTTCAAATCAAATTGCTTTTGAAATGCATAAAGCTTGCCTTATCATTGTTGACAAAATGAATCTCTTTAGTTTGCTATCACGATGAGTGCTACTAAATTCCTTACTGCCTTTAAAAGAAACAGGTTTTTTCAAGGGATTTCACGAAAAAATTGATTAACATGTACAAATATAAACAAGAACCATAAGCCAAAATGTGAAAGTTAATTCATAGAACACCCTCCCCATACTTAAATAGATGCAAGTGTATCAAAAAACACACGTGAGCTTGAATTGTACAAGAACACAAACGTTATCCAGTAAACAAACCTCAATCATCACTTCAGCGCAGACATCTTTGGAATTCAAAACACCACTCCCAAGAGCAGGAATTGCGATCGTTTGAAACTCTTTTGCTTCAAACAGCACCTTTGTACATGTAACATGAAGTATTCTTCGCGTTTTCTCGTGATTTCTGTCGTTCCATTTTGGAGCCACAGCGTGTATGATGCACTAAAATGTAATTTTCCCGGCTTTCCAACAAAACATTCTCCTTCATAAAGCTGTCCCTCTTTTCAACATGGGCTTCGCACTCATCCTGAATCTCATAACCTCCGGCATCGAGAATGCATTTTGCAACTCCACCTATATATGCTTTAATTCTTCGTTGGCAGCGTTTACAATTACGTCACACGGATGTCGCGTTATATCACCATGGAATAAAAGCAGTCTAATCTTTTCAGCAGTTTCGTAATATCCAAGTGACCCCGAACTCTGTATGCTTGACGGAGTCGGGGGTACATACTATCATTTGAAACGCCGGCATGTCTCCCCGACATAAATGACACAATTGTGGCGAGATTGCAATCCCGTCAGAAACATTTCTCCTTCTTTTGAATGAAAATATTGGTGGGCATAAGGTTCCACGAAAGAAACTTTATCCGAAGCCACTTTGGATAGAATGTTATTGATACTCATTCTAGCTTCCTGAACACCGTAGCTCGTCCCTTTATTTTATAATCCATCTTTGCTTTTGATCTTCACTGACGCATTCATGAAATTATGTTGTATATTATCAAGCTCTTTCCATGGTACTCGCTCAAAATCTGCTCAATCCAGCCCGACGTTTATTTCGTCACTCACAATCGTGTTTTCATCCATGAATTCCTGCACCGTTTCATAGGTTTCCTCCACTTTCCTCTTTCACCGATGACAGATATTTTATCAAGGCCTTTTCAATGATATCGACGGTATTGCTAAGAGCTTTAGCCTTAAAGTCTTGCCAAAGATCGGTCTGAAGATCAACGCTTTCATTTTCGAGGCGAAACAGCTTCTCATAAATATTATCATTTAAAATGTCTCCATTTTTTCACTTGGTGCCATTGAAAACAAGCACTTTCACTTTATTTCCCGTCGATTCTTCATTGAATAAGATGATCCCTTTCATTCCAGCGTCTCTCATGCGACGATTGATGGCGTCAGATTTCCAGACTCAAGAAATCGTTTCTGCGCTTCTTTAATCTGAATGCTATCCTCTGTAATGTGACTGCACTTTTCTAAAATCAAAGTTTTCGCTTGTTGTACTTGCTTCTCCGTTCCTTTGATCGAGATTAGACCAGTTCGCTTCACAATACAAACATCAGCTTGGCATTTCGTGCCAAAAAATGCGTCAATTCCATGTAACGATAATAGTTCCAGTTTATTTTTTGGTACAATCATCTCCGTGGAAACAATGTTGAGGCTTTCTTCCATCTTTAATAAGGCGTCTTGAAACATTTGCCGAGTATATTTTTCCTTTTCCTTTCCAACAACAACCCTGACCATACTCTTATCGACAATGGCCGTAACATCTTTTTTTACTTCCGGTAATCCACATAGCTTTCGCAATTCATCTTCCGATTTTTGAAATAACTTTTCGCTGAAGGGCAACTCCAAAACAACAAACCTATCAAAATACGACTCACAAGCATTCGCCATTTCCTCGGGCAATGTTAACTCTCCGTTATTTTCATTGATCCTTTGAAGCAATTCGGTTCCCAAATGATCACTGCCCTCAAGTTGACATTTTCTGTTAACGTGATTTAACACAAAACGATCGACGCTTATCTTTTTATAGACAACTTCCTTGATCTCACGCATGAACTGGTAGTGCTGACAAACACCCAGCTTGGCTCCATTTAATTTCTGTTCTTTAGACAATAAAGACTTCAAAACTGTAATTGAAAGTAAAAAGACAGAAATAAGACTTGTCGCAAAATTGACTCGAAACATGACTTTTCGCAAAAATTGTCAGAAACATGACATGTCGCAAATTTCTTTTCTACTTAAAAGTTATTATATAAGTGCACTCAACCATCAAATAGCTACAAAGCCAAAGGTAAAAACAAACAGTAAAACTACTGCATAAAAAAATATCATCCATTGCAGATATCTTACTACGCAGGTGACTAATATAATGGCAAACACTAAATTGCATTTTCTGACAAATGAGAACGCTGAGCTGGGTAACCAAAACGATTAATGCAATGAAATAAACAGTTCCGGGACATTAAAGTGGTCCTACCGTTGGTTCCTTACACAGTGATAAAGCTTTATGAAAGTTCAGAACCATAAAGTAGCAAAGTGTGCGTTCGAACTTTGGCGAGCAAAACAAAATTTGACATTATGAAGCAGTGACAATAATTTTTTATACCAAAAATTGTTTCAAACTATTTTTAGGATCTGCCGTGAGCAAATGAGCACAGAATCTTTGACTTGCTACATTAGAAACGTGGCTAAATTTCAAGACGAAGGACAAATGAGAAGCATTTCAGAGGCCTAAATGCAGGATTAAAATCAAAACGAACTTGACATTGCTAGGATACAACTCTCTGTGTGCGCTAACATACAAAAAGAAAGTGATAAAATGACTTCATCTCTTAAGTATTTGTATCTTTTGAAACAGTTGGCATACTCAACCAGCCAAAATGTCATTAACTCTATTAATGTGCTTATACATACATCCACCGAATTTTTTATTGTCTTAAGTAAAAGATCTCCAAAAAATGTAGACTTTCATTTCAACATGTTTTCATGCTAGTAATATGTAAATCAAACCATTAATGTGAATGATTTGAACCCGGGAGTATCTTTAAATGTCAGTCAACATCAACACCAACTGGACGATCTTCATTCACAAACATCAAACCATTAATGGTAAATTAAAGACTCTTCAGACTAGAAATTATTTACATTGCTTTTGAGCTGTTTATATGTTTACATATTTTAAACAAGCAGCAAATACCGACCAGACGTACAAAAGAGCAAGAACATACATGCAAGTAGAACAATGAGTAATAATTACCGTCAGGATCACAGAAAGAAACAACTGCTACTCCACGCTCTTTTTGGTGAATGACTTCTCCATAGATCTTACCTCCACCATATTTCTCACTTTCAAAGTACATCTCGATGGCCTGCTTTGTTGTGTTCTGGGTAAGGCCAGTAATCAACAACGTGTTACATAAGGGAGGATGAGAAATTTTCAGCTCGGCTCCTTCTAAAGGCTTTTCTTTTTAATACTTTCTCGAGATCTGTAGAGATCAATGATATGATGAAGTGATACACGTAAGTGAATGGCTAGATGAAGGGTTTTAACTGAACAATTTAATTAAATATTGCTATATGCGCCAATCTATAATCACTTTCGCAGGTGTAAGTTGTTAATTTATTTATGTATTAAAATGATATTGGGAATTATCATCATATACCAAAGCATATCAACAAGACAAAGTTATGTTCATACACAAAAGCAAGAGTTTAATTTTTAAAAGATAAATGCTTTTTTTTGAAAAAAAAAACAACGAAAAATCTTTTTCCTGATCAATCTAAACATTAGCGCAAAGACAGTTTGCAGATTTACTCCTAGTATGTAAATATTTGGCATCTAAACATTATTCATTTCTTCAGATACCTTTAACTTTACAGCCAATGAACAACAATTCATCAGCATAGCGGAAGTAAAAAGTCACGCTGGGTACAACTGTACCTTGATGCCGTTGTCCACGATACTTAACTGTTCATAAGTTATGTAATTCTTTAGTTGTCATAACCAAGTTAAGTAGTCAATATAAAGAACACCCTATGTACTTTCTAACTTACCTACTTTGTTTTCAAAATGGACTATGGCATTTTGGCTGTCACCAAACCACAGTTCACAAACTCTTACGTCAGTCTGAAGCTCAATGTAATTTGAAACACTGTCCTTTGTAGTCTTCGGCTTAATGTTTTCGATGTACAATTTCTTCTTGTCGGGAGGAAGATGCAGCTTCGGTTGTTTTTCTTTCAATTGTAATAAGTAACCGTCAAGTTCCAGCTTCTCGCGCTTCAAAACTTCTGCTGCCACTGAAATTATTGCAAAGATTAAAAATTAGAAAAAATTTCGTGATACGTGTGCATATTTCTAAAAGAAAAGTTTCATAATCTTCAGAATTGACCAATGATGTTGTTTCGAGTCTTATTAACAGAGCTGACATACCTTCAGCCTTTGCAAAGGTGAGATGAGCGACATCCGAATCACATCGCTCAAGATGTTCGATTTTACCTCCGCCAGATCTTCGGGCATTTTCAAAAAACATGTGCAATGTTTCGTCCGTTGTGTCAATATTGAGACCGCTTACGATAACTGTGCGAACTTCGTCTAGATATGCTTTTTCCTTGTCAGGAATGGAGTTCTTTCAAAGAAAAATAAAAAAATAATAAATCTTAAGCGAGCAGAACGTGATCTTTTTGATATCAGCAAAAATTTCTAAGTTGAATAAAAACGCAGAATGTTTTTTCCGAATAAATCAAATATACTTCTTGGCTTGACAGTTTTATCAAATCTTTTTCCAATCCTAGATCTTTTACTAAAGTTTTTCATTTCCGATTACTTCTTTCAGCAAATATTCTCATGCAGTTTAAGACTTATCCATCTTTTTTTTTGCTAAAGTCTCTCCAATTTGCTGCCTTTTTTTTTCTACTATTCCCAGCACTTCTTCATTGGTCTTTTCTCTGTCAATTTCTTTCTCCATCCATAACTCAAAGCCTATTCTTTGAATCATGTTGATTTCAATGTCCTTGTTTCTTCATGTAAGTATTTACACTTTGTATTACGCTTTTCTATCCTTTTACGCACACTGTACCACATATTTCAAGGTAATAAGCCTTTGCTTTTTTAAAAGCAGCTTTAGCTACTGAACTTCTTCATTCAAACATTTAATCGTTTAGTGCTATTGTATTTCTCTATCAATCTTTCGAACAAAACTCTAAGAAAAATCTTTTGATTATTATGTGTTATTAAGCTGACGGTACAAATTCACATGGCATAAGCTCAATCTCTCATCTCTAGTCTATCTCATATATCTCTACAATACTAACTAATCTCGAAACTCACATATGAATCTGTTTATGCTATAGTCTTAACACTGCTTTTGCAAAAGCTGTTGCTAAAGATCGAAGTAGCTTGCATCCTTCTAAAATTTGCTTCCATAAGTTAAAAGGTTTAAAAAATTTCTATGTCTAAGTTTTTCCACAACTTTGCCTGTCATTTAAAGCAAACGATTTCCATTGTTTGTCAAATATATTGTCCTCTTTTAATTTACTATCCCAACAGGGGCGCACATTAGAGGTCGGGCATGGGCGTGAGAAGGATTGCAGAACGTAGAACTACTCATTTTTTAGCATGCATTTCCTTGTATATAAAATAAACCAGGAAATCTATACTCCTTAATCTTTTTCCAGCCGACAATTTCAAAAAATAACTCCTCATACAGTTCACTTTCTTTCTCTAATCCAGATTGTTTTATCAAATATTTTTGCCGAGAAATTAAACATGATTTGCTTTGTTTTGCTAGTGAGTTCTCTTTTTTCAATTCATCACTTTTTCTTCTACATTTTACGGTTCTCCACTTACATTGATACGCGATCTTTGTTGTTATGCTCTCATTATACCATTGCACTTTCTAAAATGGCACTCTTCGAACTCTTTAACAATAATCACTGCCAGCTCACTTTGTGCTTCTTGGTTTTTTCCATATATAACTGCGCCTTTCACTTTCTACTAAAATATTTTTTAATCGCTACAACGTTTTCTTAACTAGCAATTAATAATTACACCATATAATAATCATCCCTCTTCCATCAATGGCGATGCATTTGATTTGCTCTCTTTCCACAATACCTCACTCAATAATCCTAACGATACTAAGGGTACGTATATCTACCCGTATCATAGTCGAAGGCAGGAATCAATTCGCCAATTAGTACATCATTTGGAAACGTAATGCAAAAAAATTTTCATTAACAAGCTGTCAAATCATCCTTACTAATAGGAGCATGCGCACCTAGTTCACCCCACCCTTGGATCCACCTATTCATTTCATGAATCGAGTCTTGATAGTTTGATACATGTGTTCTGTTCTGTTGGCGCAATGTTTACACATTCCACGAACAAATTACAGGGACTCACATTCATATAGGCATGAAAAAAATTGGTCGAAAATGATGGACTTAAAAGTAACTTTGTATGGCAATATATTCACATATGAATACAGCAACGACTATACACCCCACTATTTATTGAGCTACCTAGATACAAAATTGCATCTGCCACAACTCCTATGCAAAGTAACTTCAACCCCAAATATTTTTGTTTAATATGATATGGCATGGAATACCCGATTTACGAATAAAGAAATCAGTATAATTTGTAAAATTATATCATGAAATGTGTATACAGCCACCTATTAATTTTTTGGGTGGGTTGTGCAAAATTTTGGACTTTCATCAATGTCAATCCAAAACAATTGTAATTTAAAAGGCAACATATAAGACATATGTGTAAGGTTATAAGGAGCTAAAGATCAAAGAAGGGTTTTTTTTATCAATTTATGTATAGAAATTTTGAATGCTGATTTATGGTAGTGGATCCAGGTAGGTCATACATTACTGAAAATATAATTCCATTTTAAAATACTTTAGAGAGTATCTTAGTCTTAAATATTCTTCAAAACTTCTAACAAACATGATTGTTAAAAAGTCTTTTAAATATAAAATGAGCTATCATACTTTATTTTGACCTAAATCTGTTGTACTGGCTGCATGATTTAGTTATGATGTATGTTAATTATCAATAAATTTACAAAAGTACACTTACATTAGACATGGATGGCTTGTTAGTGCTACTCTTTTGGGTGTTAAGTTTGAATGGTTTATCCGAGATTTCAATTTTGCATCCATCAATTTCATGTTTTTGTTGAAGAACATTTTCCAAATCTACAAATGACACATATTCTAGATATGCACATAATTTCAGATAGTAACTAATTAGATATATGTGCTGTAAGATGTTGCATACTTTAGAATTATCTTAATTTTTATAATAACGTGAAATTTGCACCAATTTTCGTCAAATCACGAGTATTACAAAGTTCTCTTTTACAGTACAAATAGTATCACAAAAGTATTAGAGGTTTAGCACACGGTTAATGTAATGTTTTAGAAAAGCAACCGACGCCAAGCTTTGGTCGTTTGTCAAGTATAGAAGAGAAATAATGAGTATTATAGGTAAAATGATGCTAAGTTTGAAATTCAAGGTGATAAGCCAAGATCAAGAGGCTGATGATTCGCTGTAACAACCCCTACAAATGAGGAGATAAAATAATGTTTGATAGTGAAACTTACCTTCTTTGCTTTCAAAATCCAGAACAGCAACGCCGTCTTCCAATTGACTATTATCCTCATTTATATCGCCACCTCCTGATTCACCCGACTGAAAGTAGATTATTAATCTCAGCAGATCTATGTCGTTCGGTAAATTCCTCACATAGAGTAAATGTGACATAACTCTACGTTCATTGAAGCCCAACTCACAAGGCAAAAAACTCCAGACCGACTGGGTAGAAAAAGGCTTACAAACTTTAATTTATCAATTAATCACCACGAAACTCATACAAAGCGAAAGTATAACTGCATCAAGTTTTACTTATCCGGAAGTGAGAGTCCTCTTCCAAGAAAAACAAGGATGTAAATATCTAAGAAATTTGATAACCCACTTCGCCTGCAGTCGCTGCCTCTTCAAGTACGATGTCCACTGCAATAGCTATAATTTTGTTTTCTAAAAAAACTTTTGTAACAAAAACAAATAATTCGTGTTGATTACTGAAGGTGGAAAAACAATGAATGGAATGAATTTTTTTGAGAAATCAATGACAATAATTCTACTTCAAAGTTTGCAAAGCTGGACAAAAAGTAGGCATCCATGGTGAAAGCATGTGTCCACTGCCCAGTGCCCAAATAGGGAAAGACTGGCTGAAATACAAAAATTGTATGCTCTGATGCTGATTGGCTAAAAGCGCTGTAAACACCGACGCTGATTAGCCAAAAGTGGCAAACGCAATGTCAACAAAAAATGAGAAGTCGAATTTATTACTTCATCAGTCAGTCCAAGACATAATTTAACTTTATGGTACAGCATAAATAAAAAGACATTCTCCGTTTTTTTTAAAAAGACAATTGTTGTAGACATATATATTTCTCCCTCGTTTGGCTAATTTCTCGCCAACTATCAACATAATTTCCATACATTTCCAGTTGTAACTTATTACATGGCACTCAAAAACCTATCGTATTAAACTGTACAATCTTTCTTTTCATGAATAACTTCCATTTCGCTTCCATGTTCGCATCTATTGCTGAGAAAAAAAACGAGTATATACATTTATATCCTGGCCTGTAGCTAATCATACGAATATTTTGACTAAAAATGCTGTAACAGATTAAGCGTCAGTCAGAATAAATTATTGTTCCTTAATTTTAAATTCAAAGTACTTTCAGAAAAACACTTTTGGTTTTGAATTTCTAAAAAATATAATTTCACCAATATATATGTCTCTGAGGGGCTTAGAAATGTAAATATATGCCAAAATGTACAGCAGTAATTTATTTTGACCAACACTACATCCGCCACTGTAAAATGGTAAATTTTATATTACATTATGCAAGTTACGACAAACGAAATTTCAGTTGGTAAAGCTAAAATTATTTCATCAAAAAATAATTCACTGTTTTTCCTACAACTTGTCAAATTCCAAATGGTACATTCAAAAGAAGACGCACAATGAAAAGTGGTATGATTCGTTATGGTGAAATGATGTAGAAAACCAGGAAACACCTATCAAAATTTTTTTTCCTGTTTCGTCTTTCTTCTGTGCAATTTATCAAGGAATTGGGAAATTTCACTTTTAATTGAGTATGTCATCAGCATGCCCAAACATTATAATTCGGTCAAGTTCCGGTTCCATTTTTACATCTATGTCATACGTTTTGCACAGCTGATGTAGATCTTTAATTTGGGACTCCGATAGCTTGTGCATGTGATCGTGTTCAAGCTTTTGCCTTACCCTTAAAGATTTGATGGCTTTGGAAATACTTCCTTTCACAGACATTAAAGAGCTCATATCTTGCGCATAGATAAACAAGAACATAGTTTTAGAGATATGAGGCGATTCAAACTTCCCATCGAGTCTAGAGGTAGACGATTCAAATTTCCTAAACTTGCTAGAAGGTTTTTTCCTTACAATTACAAAACCATCACTTTCGTCATCGTCATCCAGCTTGATATTCTTCACAGCTTCCTGGAATACTTTGACAAGCTTGTCCTCCCTAATAACAATTCGAACTTTATTCGGCAAGCCCGGAGACGATTGTAAGAAACGCACAATCGTATTTAGTATTGTCAAAGCAGCTTCTTCGGCATCGCATTTTAGGGAGCCCGTTCCAACAGCAGGAAAAGAGATACTTTCAAGTTTCTTTTTAGTGATTAGAGCCAGACAATTGTTCAAGCAATCACCGATTTCATTTAAGCTTGGAGTGTTTGACACGACCATATGTGCTACGAACTTGACGTTTAACTGTCCGGAAGTTGTTAAAATGGTTGTCGACGTTGATATTGGGCCTGATTTTACTTTCTGTTCACATGCAAGCTGGATGTCTTTCCCACCAGCCTTAGATAAGGTTTTGCCGACCCCAGCGTCCATTTTTAAGCGAGGATTGGTCACAAAGGCGATCACATCAGTCGTTTCTTTGGTGATATCACCCTTGACGATTTCGACTTTCTTATTATCACACACTTCAATACAACCCACGTTACTTTTATCGTCCTCAGACGAGTTAAAATTTTTACTAGATCGCTGTTGAAATCCACTTGCCTCGCCGACTTCAGATTCGCTGCTTTCATTCCATTCTTCTTGTTGCTTTAATTCATTTTGGAATGCTTCAATAGTTTTCAAATCTTTGTGAAAAATGACGAAAACGACTTCCTTTATGTTGCAAGTCGACACCTTTCTTTCAAATGACTTTGTTTCTTCAAAGAAAATTTTCGCGGTTGCATCGGGAGGAAATCCGAGAATGCCTGTCCCGATCGCAGGAAAAGCAATAGACAGCTTTCCTGTGGAATGACAGGTTGACAGGCATTTCTTTATGATAGATCGTAATACCTGAATAAAAAGTGTTAGCAATCTAACAAGAATGGAAAACAGTACGCTTGAAAGTCTACTAGCAGCACAATCATACTGCGTACACATAACACATGAATACCTAGAGGGTATAGAGAGTACAAATAGTTGCTTTTGTCAGGTTAAACCAATCAGAAACCATCGATTTTTGACACTACTTTTGCCAATTTTAAACTTTAGTCCTCAAAGCAAAAAAAATTACAGAAGGGATCCCAACAGTGCAAAAATACAAGGAGCGCTGCAAAACTAAAAGTATACAAAAGAACAACAATGTCACTTCACCTTCTTTCCTTGGCTCAGCCTAACTAACTCCATACTTAATATCACACGTACCTTTTCTCCTTCGCCGTCGTTCCATTTAACACAGACGACATGATAAACATTGTCACAATGTAAATTACCACCTTGAGTGATTGCCATGTCGTTTAACTTCAATGAGCCATACTTATTGCATGACTTCTGAAGTTCTGGTCCAGCAGCTGAGCTTAAAGATTGACTGCAGGGATTAGCATTGAGTTGAAGGGATTCACTGGTGGTATTGACCAGAACATCAGCCTGCATAAGGACATTGTGATCAGAATTTTCAAAACACAAAGCTACACGGACTATGCTGCTACTTTCAAAATTTTCAGCTCATATTACACAACATTTCTTGTACTAAATTCCGTAGGCAATCAAGACTATGTATGTGTTAAACAAAATTGGTCGCTGTTCTCTATCGGCGATGTTTTATCTACCAATAGCTTTCTCTAACAATCCATCTAATCTATAAGCAAAATTCTTTATACCTGATACTTAGACAAATCACCAATGACCACTGAAATTTTCATGCTTCCCTTTGTCAAGATGTGGTCAGCAGACTTCACTTTATGATGGACATCATCTGCCACAATTGATTCGGGCCTCTGTTGTTGTACTTTTTCAATCTCCAAATGATCTTGAGCGACATTCTTTTCCTTCGGAGAACATCCAACTCTTGACACTGGCGTGGTGGTCAAACTCTTGCCAAATTTTGCGTCCAAAGTAATTTGTAAAGCCTTGCAGCTCTCGGTGTCATTGTTGACAAAGTGAATCTCTTTCAGTTTACAATCGTGATGAGCTGATTTACTGAACTCTTCGGCCGCCTTAAAAAATCAGTTTATGAAAAATTTAATAACAGTTGTTTTTAACCGTTTGCATGCTAACGCCAGATTGAACATGACAAAAATCAACCTCTCGTAAGAGCCAGTCCTGACTTTAGCTGCAAGTTGATCTACAGTTATACATCAACGAAAAAAGTCAAATGATCTTGCAAATCACAAAAATTAAATTTTCTCTTCCTCAATTGCTTCGTTGTTAAGTATCTGATTAACTACATTTAAAAATGTCTAAAATACAAGCATGGAGAATATGCAATGAAAGTCTGAAAGCAATAACATAAACTAGACAATCAATAGAATCAGTAGCGTAGTCATCAAGCAAGTTGTAGTCCTTCAAGGTAAATTTCAGGTCATTGTTATTATTTATTTCTTTAAAATTTTTTTCACAGTAACTAAACACAGAAAAACCTACATAGCATGGGACTAAATTTGCAGGCTGGTTACACCACTGAATAGAACAATTCGTTAATTCAAAGAAAACAACGATTCATCATCGTACATAACCACCTTCATAAGAAGCTTAAAACGTAAAGATCCACTGGATAGTACAATTCAGGCAACCTATCTCAAGGAGTTTAATCACCCACCTGAATCATAACATCAGCGCATACATCTTTGGGAATGCCAAAGATGCCACTTCCCAAAGCAGGGATTGCGACAGTGCGGTATTCCTTTGCTAAATCAAACGCTTTCATGAAGGTAACATGAAGTGTCTCACGTACTTTCTTACGAAGTTTTTTATTTTGACTGCTTTTATCCCATCGTGGAGCCACTGCGTGTATGATACGCTTGCATTGATGCAAATTCCCAGCACGTCCAACATAACATTCACCGTCAGACAATTGTCCTGTCGCCCTTACGTAAGCATCACACTCGTCTTGAATCTCTTTCCCTCCGGCCTTCAAAATACACTTGGCAACTCCTCCGATCAGTTTCAAGTCCTTGTTGGCGGCATTTACGATAACTTCACATCCATGCTTTGTAATATCTCCCTGAAATAAACGAAGAGAAATCTTTTCCTGAGTTTCATAGTGTCCAAGGAACTTTGACTTCCCTTTGCTGGACGAAGCACGAGATTCATTAGAGGAATCATTTGAAGCATTATCATCGTCCTCGCTAATGTGAATAACACAATTGTATTGACGTTCCATTTTAGTGAGAAGCCCTCCACCTTCTTGTGCATTAAAATATTCCTGAACACGTGGTCTCAAAAGTTGAATTTTATCTGAGGATACTTTCGACAGAATGCTTTCTATTGTTTTCGTAGCTTTATCGAGCACGCACCTTGTCCCGCTGATATCTAAAGTTTTGTCATTGATCTCAATTTTTCCTGTGGCATTTGGAAACTCTTGCATTATATTTTGGATTTCCTTATCACTGTATACTTTCAAAAATCGGCTAAGTCCTTCACTAACAGGTATGTTTTTACTCATTATTGTGTTTTTCATGAGAAAATCCTGACAAGCCAAATAGCTTTCCTGCACTTTTTTTTTCTCGCCTACAAGGAATACCTTATTGTAGCCGTTCTCAATGAAATGGAGGAAGGCAGTATTCGAACCAATAGCCTTCCTCTTGAAGTCTTGCCACAGACTGCTCTGAAGAAGACCACTGCTCTCTCCGTGGACACATAGTTGCCTTTCGAAAAGATTTTCGTTTAAAAACGCGTTGATGTCTTTCAATGAGGTGCTATTAAATACAAGCACCCTTATTTGACATTTTTTCAGTTCCTCGCTAAGCAAAATGATCCCTTTTAGTTTAGCATCTCTCATGCGATAGTTCATGGCGCACAGGTTTCCAGATTCAAGAAATCTTTTTCGCCCTTCTTTTATTTCAACAACATCTTCGGTTACTTGGCTCGACAGTCCCAGAATCTTACTTTTTGCCTGCTGCGTTTGCGACTCCCCGCCTTTGATAGTTATAGTGTTTTTCATCGGTACAACATTAACATCGACTTGGCACTCATTTTTGATGACTTGGTCAATTCCGTGTAACTGAAAAAGCTTTAATTTATTTCCAGAAATGGTCAACTTGGTGGCACCGGCGTGAAAGCGTTTTTCCATCTTGGATATGGCGTTTTGAAACATTTGGCGAGCATGCTCCCTCTTCTCTTTATTTGCCACAACTCTGAGCATAGTTTTATCAACAAGAGCCGTAATTTCATCTTGCTTTTGGGGCAATGAACATAATTTATATAAATTCTCACTTGAGGTTTCAAGAAGCTTTTGGCTAAACGGTATAACCAGGTGGACAAACTGGTCGAAATATGACATCATATCATCCGCTACTTTTCCAGGCAACATCAATGACTCGGGATTTTCATTGACCTTCTTCAGCATTTCAGCTCCAAAATAATGACAGAACTCTCCACGACATTTTTGGTTAATGTGAAATATCACAAATTTGTCCAGAGTAATCTTTTTACCACGGAGTTCTTTAATTTCGTTCATGAAATGATAGTGCTCGTGCACATTCAACACGGCTCCATTTAAATTGTGATCCTTACACGACAAAGATTTTACAACTACAAATAGAGATGTTACAACTGTAAACGAAGGCTACTGTTCTAATTTACTACGCAAACCAAGCAATACATCAAATTATCAAAAAAATCAACGTTTCATTTTCTATGTTTGTTATAAGATAAAATCAATGTTTCATGTTTCCCAATATTTACCGTCAGGATCACAGAAAGAAACAATTGCTTCTCCACGCTCTTTTTGGTGAATGACCTCGCCATAGATCTTACCACCACCGTTTTTCTCGCTTTCAAAGTACATCTCGATTGCCTGCTTTGTTGTGTTGTGGGTAAGGCCAGTAATCAGCAGCGTGTTACATACTGGAGGATGGGAAATTTTCAGCTGGGCTCCTTCTAAAGGCTTTTTCTTTTCGCGCAATACTTTATCAAGATCTGTTTGGTAAAAAAAAACACACACACACAAAAACAAAACTATACTTTTGTCATACGTATTGTGCCATACGATTTATGCTGGTGTGACCTTATGCAAATTTTAAGCAATAGCTACGTTATCGAGTAAAACAAAAGCAAAACGTTATGAAGTGATGTCCATAACAATGTTTTGCTACTTCTCTTAGCTTGCTTGCTATTTATTCGGAAAAAATACATCTTTTGTACCTAACTCTTCATCAAACGTAACAAGGGCATTGTGATTGACACCCCACTGCAGATCACGGACTTCGACCTTGGCTCTAAGCTCCATGTAATTGGATAAACTATCTTCTGTCGTCTTCGGGTCAATGTTTTCAACGTACAATTTCTTCTTGTCAAAAGGAAGATAGAGCTTTGGTGGTTTTTCTTTCAGCTGCAGCACGTAACCTTCAAGCTCTAACTTTTCGCGTTTCAAAACTTCTGCTGCGACTAAAATAATGGTGAATGAGTTTTTAGCTAATTACCTACTAAAAGTTCTCAGAACTATTAAACAAACATACTCCGAATAACGTCATTCCGTAAAACTTCGGTGCAGAGCTTCATAAAACGAGAGATATCTTATGCAAAATTTTGACTATTTTATAGAGAACTATTTAATATGAAGGCTAAATTGATATTGACTAAGTTGATAGTGACAAAATGAAATTGATCATGATAAAGTCGAAAAAGACTTGGCAACAGAGATGTTAGAGCTTTTGAGCAAATGGCCCACGGAAAAATCTTGCATTGTGTAGCCAAGGAAAAACCGCTTTATTAATAAACGTTTATGGAAGTAATCTTTATTGACAAACCTTCTGCTTTCACAAAGGTCACGTGGGCCAACTCGGGACCAACTCGGGTAAGCTTTTCAATATCTCCTCCTCCCGTTCTTCGGTTATTTTCGAAGAACAGTGATAAAGTTTCACTTGTTGTATCGGGATTGATACAACTAACAATAACAGAACGACTTTCACCGAGATACGCTTTGTTCTGGTCAACCGTGGGTTTCTAGAAATCCACCAATCAAGAAGCATATTCAAGGAATTGTATCTTCATTGACCTCATGACTAGGCACACACATTGTGAGGTGCAAGGAGGTGCAATATCCGCCCAGAATTTGTGAAATATGTAAAAATATTTGGTGAAGACACTGATGAAGGACGAAAAATAGAGACAGTATAAATGTCGTTGTAGCCCCCCGCTACGTTTTCAGGCATGTGCGCCCCTGTTAATGACAGAATGTATGCCGGTGTAAAATTTGGGGAGCAAACCATGGAAACTTAGATTGGTACAATTTGTAGAACAATGTGCCGAAAAAAGAACAAAAATCTTGATACTCATGTACTTAAGTTAAAAGTTTATCCATTCCTACCCCTCCTTTTCCTTTTTCCCGGTTCCATTACTCCTACCCCCACAAAAAAATGAAGAGTTTAAAGGCTAAGGCTGTGTTTAACTTCATTGAACTTTCTCTTATATTGCAGCCAATACAAATCATACATATGACTCAGAAATACTCACACTTGATAGAGATGGTTTCTTTGATCTCTTCTTTGACAATTCTTTGAATGGTCTGTTTGAGATTTCAATCTTACATCCCTTGATTTCGTGATCTCTTTGTAGAACATTTTTCAAATCTGAATTTCAACAAGAATAGGTAGTCAAGCAAAGAGCTATGACATGACAGTTTGGGTGATTGAAGGGTACCTTTATGTATGACATGGGAAACTAAATAAAACATGCCATGTAAAACACAAAAATGTAAGTAGTGCAGATAAATTCACCTAAATGGAAGTCATAGGAAAAAGTGATCAGCTTTCATTAACAGTTTATAATGGGTGAATCAGAAACATCCTTGCTGCAAGAGAAACTTGATGAAGAAACTAGCAAAGTGGACTGCAGATAAAAATGACTCGTGAAAATGGAAGTACATGACTGTTGGCAAAAAAAGGCCAGTCAGGCAATAATCAATTGAAAGTCATGTAAAGAGTATTTGGGTCATTGACAATTGTAAATGTACCAATCACCCCTTGAAAAATGTCAGCTGATACGAACATGATTCTCAACAACTCCAGTCAGGCTAATTATCATAACATAGATAAGTACAACAGATGATACATAGGACAATGATAACCATACATTAGGGACATAGTGATACGAATAGGGGACATAATTGAGAACCATATACATTGGGGGAGTACAGCAACCTTACATATAGTGAAGATAAGCCAACCATGCAAAGAGAATATAAGTTGAACATAAACAGGGGACTTATGTTCATCCATGAACTACAAATGAAAACCATATATTTGACAATACTTAGGGACTTGCCATGACCATATCATTTGGAAGAAAATGAAACCATACATAGAGAACTCAAGATAAGATAAGCTGGGTTTACTTGTTTTGTTTTCATTGTACAATTTGCTTCCATGTATGAGACAAATAATTCATAGTAAGTACTGAAACAGTACAATAATAACCTAATTTCATACCTTCTTCTTGTTCAAAAACAACAACAGCAAAGTCGCCGTTCATTTCACACTTGTCCACTTGTACATCACCGCCTCCAGACCGGCTTGACTGAAAGTATATTATCAGGTCATCCAAGGAAACATCGCTTTGTAAATTCCTTACAAAAAGTCTGGAAGACATGGACATGATTCAACAAAGTTCGTGAAAATTGTGCCTTTATGCCAAACGAACGAGGCCTTCAGAAAAATCAGCGAATAAAAATACTGCTAGTATTTCAAATATGCACGTAATATTTATATAAAATAAATGCATAGCAAAATCTTCGACAGTAATAAAAAAAAAGTAAAAGTAAAAGTAAGTGCATTTACTGGAAGTAAAGGCAGTTTTCCGGGAATTTGAGCATTGTGCAAACCTGCCTGACCCACTGATATGTATATTAGACTGGATAACGCATCTCTTGCGAAAATTGAAGCCGGAAGATCGATCATTTGCTACTGGCTTCATGGGGGGTGTTGTATGTGCCTGCGATAAGTACATAACACATGTGTGTCATAACACATTTGGTTTCAAAGTTGACACAGCCAGGAGTGGCTCCGGGGATAAGCTCCCGGTGTTTACAAAAATGCTCCTCACGGCGTGCGTCTAAAACAGCCTCTGTCAACCAAGTCCAACTCCTGGCCTGCTTGTGTGGCTTTACTTCTAAGCCCAGCGGAACTCCTTTTACCGACAGGAGAAGGGGCGAAGGCGGGTCTCTGGCGCCTTTAAACCAGATGCTTCTGGCAGGTGGTGGCTCGTTAACCCAGGAAGGTAGCCCACCTAGGGGAAGGAAAACCCTGACTCCAAGCCTCCGCTGCCTTGCGGTGTACTCGGTCACGGGAAAGGCTAGGAGACGGATACTCCGAAGAAGAAAGCTGCACCTGCTGGGTCCGCTCTACACGTGGCAGCTTCTGCACCTGTGGAACATTGAGCGTCAGTAGACGAGAGGGTGGAGACGGGCATGCACATCCCCTCTTAACCTAAAACATTCACCTGTGCTGGTCAGGCAAGCAGGTTTGCCGGAATCAAGTGATGCAACCATCCCTTTTTTGCGCCAGCTATCTAAAGTCCTGTGGCGATGGAGAAATGGTGACAGGAACAGGCAGAGGATGCTGCTGGAAGTTCTTAGCCATGACTCTAAACGCAGGCGGCTGCGAATTGATGGTCGTCCGCCGTAAACCCAGGGCAGATACGGCGCCTATATCCTCTCGCAGTGACAGAGCAGCCCTCTTTAGGCTTAGCACTGCTCTCCCCACATGGGGAAGGGGAGATAAAAGGATCCCTAAACAAAGCCTGCCCTACTTGCACCTGGCAGGAACCGCACCTGCCTGGGCATCCAACTAAGCGGTCGTACAACTAAGGATAACAAAACAAGAAAGCGCTTAACCATTGGGGCATGGAACGTGAGAACGCTGTTGGACAGAGGAGACAGACAAGAGCGACGCACTGCTCTTATAGCAAGGTTGCTTGGACAATACCAGGTGGACATGGCCGCATTGAGTGAGACCAGAATTGCAGATGAAACTCAACTGGAAGAGGTCGGTGGTGGCTCCACCTTCTACTGCATAGGGAAACCGGAAAACGCCCCAAGACACTCAGGCGTGGGATTTGCCATACGCACTCAGCTCGCAAGGCGACTAGTCAGCTTGCCACAGGGCATCAGCGATCGCCTCATGACCCTGCAGCTGAAATTCCAGAAAGACTGCAACGCAATAATTGTCAGCGCCTACGCCCCTACAATGACAAACCCAGATGAAGCGAAGGAAGCCTTCTACGAAGAGCTCAACCAGCTACTCTCCAGTGTTAACCGCAGAGACAAACTCATCATCCTTGGAGACTTTAACGCACGAGTTGGAGTAGACTACACCATATGGCAAAACATCCTGGGTCGCCATGGAACTGGCAAGTGCAAATCCAATGGCCTGATGCTTCTATCTCTGTGCGCGCAGCACGAGCTAGCCATTACTAACACTCTCTTTCAACAAGATGACAAGCTGAGGAACACATGGATGCACCCTCGCTCTAAACATTGGCACATGCTGGACTACGTAATCGTCCGCCAGAGGGACCGCAGAGACGTGCACATCACACGCTGCATGCGTGGTGCCGACTGTTAGTCTGATCACCGCCTGCTACGGAGCAAGATGAACATCCAGCTCGCCAGAAAGAACAAATCAGCAAGAGAGAAGCCACTGAGGAAGTTGAATGTAGCTCGCATTCCACCCAACAAAGAAGAGCTGCAAGAGAAGCTAGAGGTAGCCCTGGGAAACATTAACATCACGGGCGAGGATATAGAGAAAGACTGGAGCACTTTCAAAGAAGCAGTCTACAACTCTGCAGCAAGTGTCCTTGGATACGTTGAGCGAAAACATCGAGACTGGTTTGACGAGAATGACGCTGAGATCAACGGGCTTATTGACAGGCTCCATAAGGCTAACAGCGACCTTATAGGGGACAAAGCTTGCGAGAAGAAGAAGAAGCAAGACTACAAGCAAGTGAGGCAGCATGTGCAACACAAGCTGCGGGAAATGAAGAACGCCTGGTAGGAAAAGAAAGCCGAAGAATCCAAGTGGCAGCTGATGCTCACGACTCAAAAAAGCTCCACGATGGGCTTCGCGCGGTGTACAGTCCAAAATCGTCAGGCTCTACCCCCATCAGGTCTGCAAACCGAACGACACTGATAACAGACAAAGCTGACATACTTTTACACTGGGCTGAACACTTTAACAAGCTGCTGAATAGAGAGTCACAGATGAACGAAGAAGCCATTGACTCTCTCCCCCAGCTGCCAATCAAAGACGAAATTGCCGACACACCCACCAGAGACGAGGTTGCGAAAGCCCTCAAGCAGACAGGGTCTGGAAAGGCTCCTGGGGCTGATGGCATTCCAGCTGACGTCTACAAGAACGGAGGCCAGGCACTCCTGGACAAACTGACATCCCTGTTCCAGGAGGTTTGGAAAGTTTTCAAGGTCCCCAGGACTTCAAAGATGCTGCCGTCGTGCACATCTATAAGAGGAAAGTTGATAAGACCTTATGTGACAACCATCGAGGCATATCCCTCCTCTGCATCGCAGGCAAGGTTTTGGCCCGAGTAGTCCTAAGCAGGCTAATCACAAATGTTGCCGAGGCCATCGTCCCTGAATCTCAGTGTGGTTTCCGGGCAGGCAGGGGAACTCCTGACATGGGTTTCGCTATTCACCAGTTGCAGGAAAAGTGCCGTGAGCAAAACAAGGAACTCCACATGGTCTTCGTAGACCTAACTAAGGCATTCGATAACGTTAATCGGGAAGGCCTTTGGAAAATCCTGGGAAAATTTGGGTGTCCAAAGAAGCTAGTCTCTCTGGTAGCCTCCTTTCACGATGGCATGCAGGCAAGAGTCCAGGAAAGTGGGGAGATATCGGACCCATTTCCTGTGAAGAACGGTGTGAAGCAAGGTTGTGTTCTTGCCCCCACTCTCTTCTCCATCCTGCTCACAGCGATGCTGCTCGACGCCTTCCGTGACTTCGACAAAGGGGTGTACATTCAGTTCCGTACTGATGGAAAGCTCTTCAACCTCAGAAGACTTCAGGCCAAGACCAAAGTCTACGAGGCACTCCTGCGTGAATTTCTCTTCGCAGATGACTGTGCACTAGCCGCCCACTCCCATGAAGACATCTAGTGCATAACAGACCGCTTCGCAACTGCATGTGATCGCTTTGGGCTGACCATCAGCATGGGCAAGACTGAGACCCTGGTCCAGCTTCCACCATCCCAGACTCGTGACACCTCACCACCATCTCCTGTCATCATAACCACACCAACATCAAGACTGTTGACATGTTCTGATACCTTGGCAGCACCATCAGCAACAATGGTTCCCTGGACGCAAAGGTAACGCTGCGTATTGCAAAGCCAGTGCTGCTTTTGTCAGACTAAAGAGAAGGCTCTGGCAGGAACACGGCATCAAGATCGTCACCAAAATTGCTGTGTACAGGGCCGTGGTCCTGAGTGTTCTGCTGTACTGCTGTGAAACCTGGACCACTTATCGCAGGCACATACAACAGCTGGAGCAGTTCCACCAGCGCTGCCTAAAAAAAATCCTCCGCATCAAGTGGCAGGACAAAGTGTCCAACCTTGAAGTCCTTGAAAGGTGTGGACACTCCAGCATTGAGAGCTTGATCATCAAAGCTCAACTCCGATGGACAGGCCATGTCGTAAGGATGGATGACAGCAGAATCCCAAAGATGCTGCTGTATGGTCAACTACGAGACGGGAGCCGTGTACAAGGAAGACCGTTGAAGAGATACAAAGACACCCTTAAAGCCAACATCAAGAGCTGCAACATAGACCCAAACACCTGGGAGGAGTTCATGGGAGACAGACTGCAATGGAGGCATCTATTCTTCCAGGGTGTTCGGAACTTCGAAGCCGGTAGAGCAGCCGCCATCAAGGAGAAGAGGGCCCGAAGGAAGCAACGCTCTGCCCCTCTTGTCTCGTACCCCTGCAGCGTTTGCGGACGTTCGTGTGCATCACAAATTGGCCTCCATTCACACATGAGGTCCCACTCTCGCAGATAGACCTGCATGCCTACTCATCTGTCGCCCATTCATGGGGGGTATCCATCCCAGTTTACTATACTTTTGTATTACGAAATCACAGTTTTCGCGTTTTTATTCCTTTTACAAACTTATGATTAAGGCAAAATTTTTATGACATGTAGAGGAAAACCGGTAGAGAGTTTTAACCCTGAAGCTCTGTTTTTTTGGCTTTGTAACGACTGAAAAATAAGACGGCAAGTTGTATTGAAAATTGAAAGTTGAAGGTGACGAGGTCAATTTCAGCCGTGCGGGGCATTTTTAGAAGATGAATACTTAAATTACAAATTTACAACAAAGTAAGAACAAAGGTATTTATATCTTCAACCTATTCATCGATATCGAAGTTTTTCACATAGGAACTGGTTGAAAACTTTGCTTCGCTTAATGACAACAGAGGTACTTTAATTCGCATATTTTGATGATGTACATCTCGTAGAGTTTGATGATGCCGTTTTCAAACTTACTATTAAAATGTCTTTCTGATTACTTTTCTATGTCGATTTGTTTTGACTCTTCACTGATATAATAAAGACGTAATTTGAAATTATTATGATATTAGCGATGTGAACAACAAACTGTTGTTAAATAAGTGAATTTGTAGCAATATTTCTACATTTTTTAAGAAGCAGCAGCATCGTATAATCTCCAGTTTGTTTCAAAACAATACAGGTCGACCTTGTACCATCTCAATTTTCTCATGTTCATTTTCCCATGTTCAATT